TGCAATCACTTTCTTGTTATACTTTTTATTTGTTTATTTACTTTTTGCCTTTTCCTTTGCCTGTCAACATAAAAACAAAAACAACAAGCAAGCGGCATACAAAACAGCTGACTTACCATTGCCATACTGCGAAATTGATTTTTGAAGGATTTTTAACAGATGGACTAGGTGCTAGGTGAAACATTGGCTAGGCAGAAAAACGGTACGTCACGAAAATTCACATGGGCTCGCCAATACTCCCTTTCCAATGACTGCCTTAATTTTTTCATCTTTATTTTTCAATTCCATGGTGAATTTATAGATGCGTAAGTATCCATTATAGGGAATTTACATGAGGCGATTTTTCAATCGATTTTTAGTTGAAAGCAACAATCGCCTGGTGTAAACGGCCTTTCAACTAATCGCTTACAATGAAGTTGGTCGGCTGCCTACTTTCGTTCAACTTTTGTTCAACTAATCGCCTGTGAAAGTTGAATCATGTAAATTCCCTATTACTCTCGATACTCGGTACCGAAACATTTAGGTTTCGAATAAAATAGCACATAGGCCAAAAATATGGAAAAAACGGTTCAGGGGAGACTCGCCTATCAAAGCCCGAATGTAGGAAACAATAGAGCTTTTAATACTGATTTAAATGGAAGATGTATATATATCGGTTCGAGGCCATAATACAGAGAAACTCTTGTTTGAAGCTTTTTTGTTCCAGCTGAATCGGACGATATCATTTTTGTAGGCCTGGGGCAGACTTTGTAACCAGTTAGCGTCAATTTTCGAATCGGTATCGGTTTTTTTTTGACGATTGATATGTAAAATTTTAACGTCAACAAGTGCGATGTCGATCCGATACTTATCGCTAACTGGTTGCAGAATCTCCCCCCTGAAAGGCTTCTTTATCCATCAAAGTATTTTTCTTGAACCTTCGCTCGACTAGGGTTAAAACTGATAAAATAATATTTCTCTGTTGCGATAAGTTCAAGTATTTTAGCCGATATCATATAAATTAGTAATTAAAGTTTTTTCTAAACTTGAAATGCATATAATAACGTCTCACCAAAATTACTCTCACGAATTCTGGTGCAATCGGCGCAATCAAGGCGAATTTACACAAGGTGGTGTTCAAGGCGAATTTAGATTTTCGCCGCGGTACTTTTTAATGTCCAAATGATGTGTTTGTTGCAGAATGAATTCGCCTTGTTTACAACAAACACATCATTTTGACCAAGGTAAATTTATACAAGGTGGTGTTGTCCAATCAGCTGATTTCTTCTTCTTTCCTTCGCCTTACATGTATTTTGTTTTTGCTTTTACTGATTTGACAGCATGCCCCTGAATAGCAACAACAAAATACATGTAAACTTTGAGGCGAATTGAGATGACATATTGCCCCTGATACAAAAGACATGTGGTTGTTGTTTGTTGTATTCTTGCTACCACCTTGTATAAATTCGCCTTGATTTTGACATTAATAAGTACCGCGGCGAAAATCTAAATTCGCCATCAATACCACCTTGTATAAATTCGCCTTGAGAGAAGGGGTGGCAACCAACGTAAGCAAATTGGATGGCGCGAAAAATAAGCAATAAACTTGCAAAAAACAGAACGTACCTGTGTACAAGCAAACCAATTGAAGCAGCTGCTAGTGGGTAGAAATGGATTCTGATCAGGATGAGCCAGTTAAGAAAATGGTAAAGAAAGAAGCCTATGGAGTTGATATAAAGTCTGAAATTGCAGTTGTCAAGAATGAGGAAGATGTTGGCCAGGAAGTAGAAATCAAGCAAGGGAAATCTCTCACAGGAGGTTTGAAGCAGGAGCCTGATGAATCCTCTGCTGAACCTGAAGTTACGGTGAATAAAATATACTCATTGAAAAATTTGGGGCCATTCATAGCGGCGCACGATAATTCGCAGAACACAGTTTATTTCCAAGATTTGCCTGACATCTGCAAGCGCGAACCATGCATGCTAGGTGTAGATGAAGCTGGTCGAGGGCCGGTGCTAGGTCCAATGGTTTATGGCATCGCTTACTGTCCAATAAGTAGCAAAAAAGTGTTAGAGGACTTGGGTTGCGCGGACTCAAAGCAATTGACTGAAGAAAAGCGTGAGGTGATTTTTAACGAAATGAATACAGCGGAAACGCCACGTGCTTGCGTCGGGTGGGCTGTGGAAATTATATCTCCGAACATAATAAGCACCAGTATGCTGCGACGAACCAAATGTTCGCTTAATGAAGTATCTATGAATTCAGCCATTGGGCTTATAAAACGTGCTGTTGCCGAAGGTGTAAACATTTCAGAAGTCTACGTCGATACTGTAGGACCGCCAGAGAAATATCAGGACAAGTTGAAAGGCATTTTTCCGGATTTCAAAATCACTGTGGCTAAAAAGGCTGATTCTACGTATCCCATTGTATCAGCTGCCAGTATATGTGCCAAAGTCACACGTGACACCGCATTAAAGGTTTGGAAATTCCCAGAAGGCATCAGGATTCCTGATAACAAATTTGGCAGTGGTTATCCAGGTGATCCGGTCACTAAACGGTTTCTCAGTGAGAATTTGGACATGTTTTTTGGTTTCCCGCGCCTTGTCCGATTTAGCTGGTCCACTGCGGAAAATGCACTTGCGGATAAAGTATACGAATTAGAATTTGACGAACCTGAAGATCCAAAACCAAAATACTCAGGACCTAAATTAACACAATTCTTCAAAGGCGCAACAAAGGGCGGTGAGGTGCAACGAAAGCCTTGTCGATTCTTTAGGGAACGTTGCTTGGATAATGTTACGAATTTCTAACTCAGTAGTATAGAAAAATAAAATCATTATTAAGATTTCAGATTATGTACCGTATTAAAAGTAAGCATAAAATAATTTTGCACATACATATGTATGTATTTAGAAAATCCCGCTGGCAAATTCACATTTGAGAAAAAATACATACATAGATAAAATTTTTTCTACATTATGCATATGACTTCGTTCTTTAATGAAATATAACAAGAGTTTTGTAAGAGGATTATTTTCCAGTTCCAATCATGATAAAAATATAGTTATAGTTAGTTCTTATGTTTTTATCATGGTCCCAATTATAATACGGCTCTAGTGCATTAAATTTGACATTAGGGTCGGACAGATATATACGACTTTAGATTATGTCTGTAGTTTTTGAAAAACAATGCATGTTCATACATATGCAGATATTTGAAAATACATAATGCTTGTTGATCATTATGAATTATATTCTAAACAAAAGTATCGTTATAAAGTATATATGCATTTTGTTACCTCAGTTTAAGAATGAAATTATCCCCCTATCGACATTGAAAAGTGGCATCATTGTTAGATGCGTGATTTGGTCGCTTTGGCGCGCTACAATCAGCTGAGCGCTATCGGCCTCTATCATTCCCATTTGCTTACTCTTTCTGTATCACGTCGAAAGAATCGCAAGTCGCGTTTTCTACACTCGAATTTTTTAAGGCAAAATTTGTGCAAACATTTCTTTATCTTAACTTTAACCGAATGCTCTGAAATTATTGGAATTGTAAAATTTAAATTTTTGTATATTTTTTGCAAGTAAGCAGATAAAAATCCGGGCCGGGTAAGTGGGTTAAATTTGGCTGGAAAAAATCGTATTTTTCACTTCGTCGTGTGTGTGTGCTGGTTGAAAAACGCGCTGCTGCGGTGGGGCATTCGAATTGCCGCTGCTGCTGCTCTCGCCATTTTGAGTCGAATAAAAAATTTTTCTGCCTCAATACGACAAAAAAGCGAGCAAGGCACAGCCTGAAAAAGAAAATTCTAATAGTAAAAGCCATTGTGCTGCAGGCTTCGATCAGAACAAATGAAAAATCTTTAAAGGAATTGGAAAATATACTTGGAATCCAGCAACTTCGCAGATAGAATATTCCTCGAATTATTGCCAGATAATCTACTGCAGTTTCTGGTAGCTGGAGTTAAAGGCGGGAAGATATAGCGATAAGAAATTAGACTTAGATAACTCAATAATCCCAAAAACAACCGAATCACTCCACAAACGAATAGCCTCATATTCTTAAGCTCAAGGATATAATATTCAGGCAATTCTTATAGCCTTTTCCGGTGCGTAGGTGTCTCGACGGTAAAGTGGAAATTGGACAGATAAAAAGGCAAAAGACAAGGGGAAGACAACGATAAAACGAAACGAAAAATGGCGCATTCGACAGCAACTATAGTCACAGCAACAACGTCCGCTGCTGCTTCGTCGACAAGTGAAATCAACTGTATAATCCAGGATGCAAATGGTAAGTTAGATATAATATACTATATTAATATACTTTTCTTAATCCTTTTGGATGTGGGTAATTCACGAGCTTGGCCAGGGAACCTGCGAACCAACCAAATTCCATAATTTACCTTCGCTTCGCTGCTCGGGCTGGCAGTTTTGGCCGTAGTAGTGTTGTTATTTTTTACTTCACTTGGATTTGTTTTTGTGTTACTGGTCTATTGTGTAGATCGCGCTGGTGGGGTATGCGGGAAATGAGAATGGGAAGTGAAGTATGGCAAAGAAGAGGGTGGGAATGTGTAAATCAGAAAAGATGGACACATCGCAAAAAGGAAATTGAAAATAAAAATGAGAATGCAAGAGGGAGAAGCATAGAGAAGGCATAGCGGAAAAGGAAATGTGCCCAAACAAAGCAATAAATATGCAAGACAAGTGAAAGAATCGGATAGAGTTGCTAAACAAACTTCCGGTTAGGACTTAAAAAATCTTAAAAGCAAAGTAGATATATTATTTTTAGTCGATTGACTTTATTTATTGGCAGTGTCTACACACACGCGCCACGTTAACTTTTACCGTAGATCCAAGATAACAAATTACCGTAGGTTCACCAAAAATTTAATTTTACCGTGTATACACGAATTTTACCGTGGATATACGGTATTTTTTACCGTGGATCTACGGTAATTTGTTACTGTGGATCTACGGTAAAAGTTACCTTGGCGCGTGAGTATCTACGGTAAGAGGATATGTGTATTACGGGGATTATGTGTTGTCGGAGAAAGGGGGCAGAACTTCTTTATGCGTAGGCGGCCTTTGGCAGGCTTGGGGATTATAACCCTTACTACGCAGAATTCTCCTTGCTGTGTTGCCGGAGAAGTGGGACAGAACTTATTTCTGCGTAGGTAGCCTTCGGCCGCGCTTAGGGACTATAACCCTTACTACTCACTATTCTCCTTTCTGTGTTGCCGGAGCAGTGGGACAGAACCTTTTACGGTATACGGTAATTTTTACCATAAATCTACGTAATTTTTAACATAGATCTACGGTTTTTTTACCTTAGATATACGGTAATTGTTACGTAATTTTTACCGTGGATATACGGTAATTTTTACCGTGGGGCAGAACTTCTTTCTGCGTAGGCGGCCTTCGGCCGCGCTTAGGGACTATTACCCTGACTACTCACTATTCTCCTTTCTGTGTTGCCGGAGCAGTGGGACGGAACCTTTTACGTGGATATACGGTAATTTTTACCATATATCTACGTGATTTTTGGATATACGGTAATTGTTGCGTAATTTTAACCGTGGATATACGGTAGTTTTTACCGTGGATTTACGGTAATTTTTATGGCGGATATACGGTATACCGTAGAAGTATCGAGTACTTTTGAGGATCGAGTTCTTTGGTATCGATACTTTTAAGGATAGGGTATTTTTCAGAGTACTGAGTACTTTCTTTAAATATACACATAACTTGATAGCATTTTATTTATTTATTTATTTATTTTTTACAGTTTGTTAGACTTATATTGCAACAAAGATTTAACATTCGTATAATTAGATTCTAGATTTAAAATGTAAATATTAAATATTAAATACAAAATGCTCTACAGAAATTTTTAAATAACATTATTTCTTTATCACTGCAATTATTTTATGTCAATATAAACGCATGCAATTTTCTGGAAGTTATGTAGACGGTTGGAAAGGCCGAGTTTCCAATCCTCGCTATTCTTTTTGGGTTACTCCATTTATTGATATCTCCTGGGTGGTCAGAAAGGCCGAGTTTCCGATCCACCCAGTCGTGCTTTCGTGACGGTTGACGTTTGGAAAGGCCTAGTTTCCAATCCGCTCGTTTATTGTTTATTATCTAAGGGTCTAGGTAGTCGGAAAGGCCGAGTTTCCGATCCGCCTAGTCTCGATATCTTGGTGGTTGGAAAGGCCTAGTTTCCAATCCACGCTATTGTTGATACATCCCTATCTTGTAGGCTGCGTTCTACAATAGTCAAATAGCAGCCGCTTGAAAAGAGTGATAGTATCACAATTTTTTATAGCCTCTGGTAATTCATTGAAGCACTTTAAGTCTTTATAGAAAATATTTTTTTTTGCCCACTTCTGTTCTATACTTCGGGAGTCTGAAGCTGTTATTCTCTCTCAACAAATATGTATGTGTCTCATTTATATATCGGAGATTATCGCTAAGATAATCCGGCAGGTTGCCCTTCTTAATATTGTACACAAATTTCATAGCGTGGTAAAAAACCTGTTGCTTCACGCTTAACCAATTCAAGGTTTCAAGCATACATCTTGTTGGTGTGTCATACGGTTTGTTGAGGATGAATCTCATCCCTCGGTTTTGCATTTTTTGCAGCTTATCTACATGGGAGTCCCCCGCTAGGAAGAAAATCGTGGGGCAGTATATAAAGTGCGGTTCTACTATTGACCTGTACACCAACGTTTTATATCTTCTTCCCAAGTACTTACACGATCTCTTTATAAGGCCAATTTTTTTAGCAATCTTGTTGACTGTATACTCAACGTGCTCATCAAACTTTAGTTTGTTGTCTATGTATATTCCTAGGTACTTGACAATTTTCACCTCTTCGATATTTTCATCTTTGATTTTTAATTCACGGCTTATGAAGTCAGCATTTGCCGCTCTGGAAAATACCATAAAGTTAGTCTTTTTCACATTCAGTTTGAGTTTATTTGAACACAGCCATTGATACAAAGAATTAAGATCTTCTTGCATTTTTACAATCGCATTTGGTAGTTCCCTATCACTGATCGTTAACAAGGCATCATCCGCAAAGAATTTTATTTTACAATGTTTGAGAGAACTTTTAATATCGTATATATATATATTAAAGAGTAGGGGTGCCAAAACTGAGCCCTGTGGTAATCCGATGTCTACGGCTATCTTACTAGACATCTTTGAATTAACTATTGTTTGTTGCCTACGATTACATAGAAAGCTTCTAAACCAGTCAAGTTCAGTGTTTTTTATACCATTATTCAAATTAATATATGAATCCCAAATTACGTAAAATGAATGGCTTACTGTACTGGGTACAAGTATTGTACTTGAAAATTATTGAAACGTCAAATTGAGTACAATCATTTCTGAATAGTCGATACCTAATAAAAAGTAATTTTAATCGATCCTGAGTACATGCCATTCCACGCTACTAGAAGATATAGAGGCCTCCTCTCTCCCACAGAGGCTCAAACGGTGGTCGGCAAATTATCTGAGTGGTCGACACTCGTCGGTAATGTTTAGAGACAAAACGAGTAAATTCAGAAAAATAAAACGGGGTTCCACAGGGTGGTGTCCTTTCCCCACTACAGTTTAACTTTTACATTTCAAAGCTCCCTCAACCACCCTCGATCATGGCGTCTGGGAATGGAATTGATGACCTGTGTTCGAAAGTAAACGGGTATCTCTCCGAACTTTCTCGCTTCTTCACTGCAAAGTGTCTAGCCGTATCCCCTACGAAATCCTCTGCGACCCTGTTCACAACCTGAACGAAGGAGGTCAGGCTACCGCTGGGAATTCACGTCGATGACACACCAATTCCGACGGTGAATAACCCCAAAATACTCGGAGTAACATTCGACAGCCTGGTCTCCTTCTCTGCGCACGCAACCGCTATTGTCAATAAAGTACAGAGCCGCAACAAGGTCCTCCAGTCGCTAGCCGGCAGTACTTGGGGCAAAGACAAAGAAACGTTGCTGGCAACATACAAGGCAATAGGGCGGCCGGTTTTAAACTACGCAGCGCCAGTGTGGTCGCCGGGGAGTAGTAGGACGCAGTAGACGAAGCTACAGACTGTACAGAACACCGCACTCAGGACAGCGACAGGATGCCTCCTGATGTCGCCCGAACATCATCTCCACGGCGAGGCGCAAATGCTCCCCGCAAAGGAGCACAACATAATGCTCTGCAAGCAGTTCCTGATCGGGTGCCACAGAAGTGGCAACCCAAACAGACAGCTGTTTGCAGAGGAGCCCTCGCATAGGCACGTCAGGAGGCATCTATATGAACTGACGGACGAAGTTCAGATGTTCATCAAGCAACCTCTGGACCTGTCAGCGTACCGACTGGCCCTGAACGGCATTCACAGGGAGTCAGTCTCGAGTTATGTAGACTGTAGACCTGTGAATGCCGTTATAGGCATACCGCCCCCGGACATAGACGAGACGGAGCTTCATCTGCCTCTGGAGACACGAACGACAATAGCCCAACTACGCTCTGGCTACTGCAGCAGGTTAAACTCCTACCTGTGTAGACTGAACGAGGATGTGCCAAATGAGTGTCTGGCATGAGTCCCCACATGACTCGAAACATCTCTTCGCATGCCTGGAAAACCCTGTGGACCGACCCTACAGAAGCTGCACGCTTCCTAGGGCTGCCGTTAGTGAAACTTGACGACAACGACTGAGATACCAACCGTCCTGGGCGGGGTTGTTGTAGCCGCTACAACAACAACAACAACTATAGGAGTATTCACATCAGCCTGGTTATATGGTTATGATGTTATCTTTTTAACTCGGTTTACAAAAAAAATACTAATTTTTAACCAGATAAAATCAATAAAGATGACGTACAGCGATTTTTTTTGCAATACGGGCAACTGTTTCTTAGTTATTATATTTTCCGCAATTTTTTTATAAAAATATGGTCAATTCTACAACATAGTCCCTAAAAATCAGAGCTCCAAACCTTGTGTAAAAATAAAGAAAATTCTTCAAATTTTTTATTAAAATAATGCAGTTTTTAATTACATTTTTTGAAAAAGTTGAGTATGCAGTTTCTAGCACATTCAATTTTATTATAATAAATTGCAAGTCTGAAGTAGCTAGGACTTACGAATGATTTTTGAATAATTTTTTTCACCATATAAATTAATGTTCAATTCTTTTTATATGGAGAAAATAACCGACACCTAACGACGTTGTCCCTGTGGAAATTCCCTATAGTCTATCTGGACGGGGTTGTTGTGGCCGCTACAACATTATTATTATTATTATTATATTATAATTAAAAAGTATAATATTTTAATTAAAAGTTGCAGAATTTTCTTAAATTTTGTAAAATGCTTGGAACTCTGATTTTTGGGGCTTTTATTGTAGAACTAACCATATTTTTATAAAAAGTTTGCGAAAAATAAAATAATTAAAAACAGTTCCCCGTATCGCTGTACCTAAACATTATTGATTGACTGTATGTTTACGAAATGTTGACTTACATACAGTTTAGATAAAATCAAGTAAGATACTCTTAACCATAAAAAAGATAATTTTCTAATTCTACAGTAGTTACTCTAGGATTGGTAAAATCGAAGTCTAAAAAATTTGAGAAGGTTGTTGTTGAAGAATCGTTGTCGTCAATCTCAACTAAAGGAGAGCAAAGGAAGCGTTCTCAACTCCAACTGGGTTTGTGCATAGGGACAGAGGTGTTAACTGAGTGGGGTTTGTGAGGCATGCGACTCGTTGGTTACATCTGCATCTAATCTGCTCAGTTACGAGTTTAGCCTGCTGCAGTAGCCTGAGCGAATTTGAGTTATTGTTGTGCGAGTCTCCCGAGGCAGACGAAGCTCTGTCTGGTCCGTTGCGTTCCCAAAACGGCGTTCTCAGGATGAGGGTCAGTGTAAGTCAATACTGACTTCCTGTGAATGTCGTTTATAACCTGTCGGTATGCTGTCGGGTTCAGCGGTTGCTTTATGAACGTCTAACCTTCGTCCGTATATGGTAATGCGGCGACATCATAAGGTACTCGGTGGCTGTCCGTAGCGCCGTATTTTGGCGACCTCACAGACTCTGCATGGTTTAGAACCGGCCGGCCAATTGTCTTGTATGTTGCCAGCAACGATTCTTTGGTTTTGCCCCAGGTGCTGCCGGCCAGCTACTTATGGACCTCATTGCGGCTCTATACTCTATTGTTAATTGCGGTTGTATGCGCGGATAAGGAAAGCAGAATTACGAAGGAAACTCTGAGAATGTTTGTTTTGTTATTCACCGTCGGAATTTGCACGCTATCGACGTCAATTCCCAGATGTAGTCTGACCTCATTCGTCCAGGTGGTAAAAAGGTGTGCCGAGGATTTTGTAGGGGAGAGGGTTAGGCTCCTTGTAGTGAATTAGCAAGAAAGGTCAGAGAGGTGACTGTTTACTTTCGAGCACAAGTGATCAATTCTATTCCCAGACGCCATTATCGAGCAGTCGTCAGCATAAGACACAATATAGACACCCCCTGGTGGGTGACGGAGCTTTGAAATACATATAGAAATTAAACACCTGCGGGGAAAGGAAACCACCCTGTGGAATCCCCTGTTTAAATATCCTCGGTTTGCTAGTACTGCAGCGCTCGCCGTTATCGATAATGGCCTCACCAACATCGCTTTACATCAGTTTAGATGCCTTTCTATCTCAATAGATCATTTTAGGAGCTGAGAGCTTCGTGAGAGTCAGGAAGGACTTTCACTCTGCATTCCTTTCTCATTACCAACGGGAATTTATACAAGGTGGTATCGGTTGATCAAAAACAAAAATTATTTTTTAAATCTTTTGTAATGCTAAATAATATAAGCTTATACATTTGCATAAATTGTCAATACGAAAAGCCCTGCTAGAAGGCATGCATGTAAGGCCTCTTTTCCATATCTCTTGGGTAAATGTTTTAGAATAGTTTCACATAAGAAAATCTATCCAGATCGTCTTCTGGAATATTAACGATATGTATGTTTTTTTATATGAGACGCGATCTTTGGAAGTTTTTTTTAACAAATGGGCACAACGACCGTTTTTTTTTTAAGGAGGAGTACAAATTTATGGCAAAAATACTATCTGAAATTAGTCATTGCGCCACCACTTTACAGCCGATCTTTTTTGACGTCTAAAGTGTAGTGCCTGGCAATTTACTGGCCGCCTAGCATGGTTAACTTTTTTACCAAACTTAGCGACACAGTAAACAACCCACCATTCGATTATTTTTGTACCCGTAATGCCACCCTATACAGTATGGTTGAAAAACGTAGGAATTCGAAATAATGTGTGCTCGCCTATTCGCCACATTTACTCGTGCTTTTGTTTTCCCGCTCTTGCTGACTTGCTCTATCCATTGACGCTGCGATGTAAAGGCGCGCTATGAACTGCAGCTGCCGCCGCAATTTGACAAGTGTAAACTAGTTGGATGTAAAAAGACGAACTTCGTGTGAGCATTACATTGAGACATCACAAAATTGAGAAACAAAGACCAAAATTAAGTACATGTGTTGAAATTAAATGAAATGAAATGTTATTGACAACAGTTAGCCGTAGTAATTAATTATAAATATATTTGAGAAAAACTCGCAACACTTCAGCTTCACATAAGGGCACAAGATAAGCAAAAGAACGTCACACTTTACTAGCAAAGTAGGGCTGAGCAAGTAGGCTTGTGTAGTGAGAGGCCAAGATGTTATTGAAATGATACCCAAAGATTTTCAGCGCAATTTAAGTTAATACATTGTAACAAGTGAAGAATTTCACAAGGGAAATTACTAGCCAGAAATTGTGCTCGGTGGCGAAGCCTTTTATCTGTAGCTATTTGAAGTGTGGTTGTTGTTATTTTCGCTGCCGTATGACTTTGATTATTGGTATGTATGTTTGTTGTACCGCCAGCACATCCATACATAAACATACTACGAAAATCTAGCATACGAATATATGGACATCCATATACATATGTATGTATGTATCTATGAGTATGACTAATTTTGTTGTTTTCGTGCTTCCAGGCAAACTCGTTAAGATTTTGAGACCAAAGGATATCAAACAAGAGACAATTGGTAGTGGCGATTCAACAACCATAAGAGCTGTGCATTTGAACAGCGCAAGTGGTAGTTCACTTAATTCTAGTGCAGGCTCATATACACAGTTGGTAAGTACAAAGTACCTACATTCGTATACTTTACTATGCTTAGGGAGAGAGAAAAACTAAAACATGAAATTAAAAAGAAAAAGGTTCGGTTGGAAAAAAGTGGTAAAAATATATTAATGGATTGTTAAATAATACCGTGGATGTGGTACGTTGCTTGTTAAATTGCGGAATGTTGATGACGTTACTACGCCGGTGGGTGCGCAGCAATACCGATACAAAAGGCGTGGAGACTAATGATAGCTTAGTGGAATATCAGCTGGTTGACCAACCTCTTTTGAATAGAATCGGTAGAATCGGTTTTCCTATGAGGAAGGTTTTGCAAGACTTACATTAATAAAAAAAAGTTTTTATTTTTTAATATAGTTAGTTCACACTATAAAAAACTGTAAACCTACTAAAAAAGGTTTCAAACTTTGTATAAGATTTAAAAAAAAATCATCAAAATTTCAAACTTTTTTATCAAAATTTTTTGGAAAGTTTCGAGTATGCAATTTTATAAGCCATTCAATTTTAATATAATAATGTGAGAGTTTGACAGAAAAATGCGCAACATCGTACGAAAAAAATTCACAAAAATTAAATTGTACTTTATGATACTAAAATTAAATTAAATTAAAAATTTTGTTTAAAAAAAGTTTTATGTTGCAAAAATATATTTTTTATAAACTTTTAAAATTTTACCTTTTTGTTTAATATTGGTGGTAAATTATTTGAGGCCGCCTTGCAAACATGTACATACATTTATATATATATATACTACATGTACATATATATATATATATATACTACATGTACATATATATATAGAATTGAATTACTTATTTTTGTTTAGTCTACTTGGATTTTTCTGTAGAAGGTTTATAGGAAAGAATTTGAAAGCTTTTTTTTGTCGTAGCCAGGCACAAAATAACTCCTGCAGAAATTAAAATTTCTACATTAAGCTTAGTATCCAGCTCTTAAGAAAAGCAAAAACTCCATATAAAATGACGTACAAGAAATGGCTAAGAAATTTTCTTGAGTCAAATTTCCTTAAGGCAGTACGCAGTTCTTAAGAAATTTAGTACGCTTTCTACTACGGTTTTCTAAAGTTTTTTGTGAAAAAAGAGCACAAGGCAACCCAGGTTTGCAACAGAAATATATGCCCGCTCCATTATTTCTTGAGGAAAGAGTGAGGCAACAGGCTGTGAGGTATAAAAAATGTCAAAATTCCTTGGACACACACGCGAAATAATGGCAATTTTTTCTTGACCGTTTTCTTAAGAGCTGGATACTAAGCTATACAACAAAAAACGTTTGAAAAGCTAGAAAATACTGAGGGTCGGGGTCGAGCTTCGAAAATACAAAAATTGAGTGGCATTCAAAAATATCATTAGAAGATAATGGGAAGGATATTAGTAAATGGCCAACCATGTCTTCAAGATTGTTGTCAGTTCAGTTCTGAGTAGATACCCGTCATTAGTAAAAACAAGTAGTTGCAGTGAAGATTTCATAAGTCCCCTTTCAGACACGTCAAGTCTTCAAAGCAATTTTTTCGCATTCTCTTTTGTGTTTTCTGTTTGCTTCCAGACGCGTCAACTTTTATTGAATTGAAGTTCTTGGTCCTTTAAATGTGAAGCAGCGAAAAGATCTAAAGATACAAGAAAACTTGAAACGAATTGACGGTACGGAGGTACTTGTACTCTTCCGCTCTCTTCTCAACGAGCAGACTTGAAAGCAAGACTTGACGTGTCTGAAAGTTGACTAACTGATTCACAATAATTTAGTCTCCCATCTGTTTTGCTTCATTTAAAATAAATGTATGTCTATGGCTTGCATAATTTTAATAATTTTTCCATATTTTCAGGCTACGTCGAGTCAACAACAATATTTGAGCCGTTACAATATACAAGGTGGAGATAGTAAGTTTAAAAAGAAATTTTAATAGATTTTAATACGATTTTAATTTGCGCTCCAATATTTTTTTTCCTTAGGTAACACATACACCGTTATATCAACACAAAATAGTGTCGGCAATCAGCAACCGGCATTTACAACTATAAAATACGAAACTCCAGAAACGGTAAACTTGTGGCTGCCAACATAATCATTACACATTTTACAAATAATAAATATTACGCAATTCCAGGTCACCGTGAAAACGGAAGAGCGCTACACAAAATACACACCAAATAACAATACAAAAATGAAATCAAAACTGTAAGCCATTTAATATACACGTAATTTTTGAACTTTCCTTGTTCATGTGTTTACTTCTACTACAATAGCCACACTACCAATAGCCCCCATACGAACTCAGCACGAAGGCAACGTAAACCCGAAAAGGCTGGTAAAGGTTTGCGACATTTCGCTTTAAAAGTATGTGAAAAAGTGAAGGAAAAGGGCGTCACTACTTACAATGAAGTCGCCGATGAATTGGTCGCTGAAGAATTGCACATCAATGCCGTAGATTCAGCGAATTGTGATCAAAAGAATATACGTCGGCGTGTTTATGATGCGCTCAACGTACTTATGGCCATGGAAATAATATCGAAAGACAAAAAGGAAATACGTTGGATTGGATTGCCATCAAATTCGGCTGAGGTATGTATTTATAGCGACTTTCTTTAAATATACATACGGTGACTAACACAGAATTTTCAAAGTTTTTCATTCTAAGTTTTATTCGATATTCTATACATATAAAAAAAAAATTTAACATGCCGATCTCTGTACATTATAGATATTAAAGAAAAATTAATATGGGGCCTTTATTAGAGCAATAGAAGCCAAATCAACAAATTTAAAATTTTTGTCTGTCTGGCCGTCTGTCTGGCCATCTGTCTGTATGTTTCTAAGCGCATTACTCGAAATCTAATGCATAAATTTGAAAGCAGTTTTCACCGATGTATTGCTAGTGGTCTAAATTAAAATATAAAAAGAGAAAAATTACAGAGTTGCCTACTGTTTGAAAATTATAGTTCAAGCTAGGCCGCTATTATGATTCACAACTTTCAAGATAGTTGAGTTGTAAGTTGTAAATTGTAGTTGGACACAACTCAACTCAACTTTGCAAATATAGTTGTCTGTTAGTTGTCTAGCACTAACATGCTCGGTGTCATCGGTAAAACATAATTCGTAACTTTTAACATAACATTTTTTTGCTTTTAATTATTTTAATATCATTAAAATAACATAATATTATGAAAATATAGTTTTTTATAAATATATAGTTTATACACAAAAATATATAGTTCATACACAGAAAACATAAAAAAAGAATCTAATCTTTTTGAAAGGCTCAGGAAAATTCAATAAATTTGTTTACTAATTTACAACTTTTTATTAAAGTTTTATACTCAAATTCTAAGTAAATTTTTTAGCCCTTCAATTTTAGTATAACAAAGTGCAAGTTTGAAGTTGTTAAAACATTGCGTTGATTTTTGCAATTTTTTAACGCAGTTTCTGCCATACAAACTATTTTCCGCAATTTTTTTTTGTATGTTCGGCAATTTTTTTTTTGTATAAAATAAAATAATAACACTGTCTGCAAAAAAAATTGCGACTATAAAACTACATACTTAGAATAAAAAAAAACCAAACAAGTTTGCAAATTAGTCTGCAATTTTATTGAATTTTTCTGAGTTTAGCACAAAGTTTAGAGATTTTAGTTTTATGTTCTTTGGTGTAGTATAAACTAAATTTATATAAAAAACTATCGAAAACTAATTAGAATGAAAGACTTTGCATATATTGGGAAAAATTCTCCGTGCTAAAACATGTGTTCGTCACCGTATCTACATACATACATATGTAAATATGTACATATATATGTAGGCACATGAAATGTAATTTTAAAAACAATTTTGATTCTCGCAGCAATGCTCTGAGCTGGAAAAACAAAATGAAGAGTGTCGTCAACGCATACAGCAGAAACATCAACAATTGAATGAACTTTTGCTACATCAAGTTGCCTTTAAGAGTCTGATCGAACGCAACAAAGAAGCGGAACGACAAGGCAATGTGCCAACGCCCAATTCTTCAATACAGCTACCCTTTATCATAGTTAATACGCACAAATCGACAAAAATTAATTGCAGTGTTACGAATGACAAGTGGGTTTATTCGAAATTACTTGAAGCTGGGAAATGGATAATGATATATGTATATATATGGTTTTTTAATTTGCTAGATCGGAATATATTTTTAAATTCGATGATCAGTTCGAAATGCACGATGATGCCGAAGTACTGAAACGTATGGGCTTACTTGGTGGTAAGTGGAATGAAATAATTTCTTATAGTTTTTCTTACTCGAATGCCTTTTTGAAAGCAACTTGTGCGTTGCATTTTTTCAATCACTTCCAATTAAAAAAGTTGCCATACCGCTCCAAGTGTTAACGAAATTCTTAGGAGAAAGATTTTATTTTTTTAAGGACTAGACCCTTTGAGATTATTTTAATTTTTATGCATCGTTTGATTGCTTTAACTTTAGCACTTATTTATTAGCTTTTAAGTCAAGCTTTTAAACCCTTTTATATGAATATTACAATTTTTTGATTTCTTTGCGAAAAATGAAAAATGTATGACTTACGTAGTGATGACGGTTCACTCTCCATGAGACCGAACTGTTTCCAGCAATTGGAAAATACATACATATATAATTGTTGTAGCTTGAAATACGAAAAAAACATGGCAAACTATTTAAAAAAATTTAATATTTGTATAAGCATTAAAAGTTATGAAACTATTCGCTAGTTATCGTTGGTTATGAATACATACGTACAACCAAAATATGTACATATAAGCAACAAAGTAAATTTACATTTCGAAACTTCCATTTATGTCTGCGAAAAAATTTCGACGGTTCGTGTAGAAAGTGGCAGACTCGCCTTCTTCTTAAATGTTGAAGATTGAAAGATATAAATTAAAAAAGTTAATTCGGCATAGAAAATTGCATTATTTTTCAAGTTTCACTGTCAAGTGTTTTGGTTTTTATTGTTTTGCCTGATTGCACAATATTGATCAATGAGGTTAATCTACAAACATGCATAAGTACATATAATTTATTTCTTTATTATTTATTCTTAAAAAAAAAAAAAAAAAAAAAGGTTTAGATAAAGGCCAATGCTCACACGAAGAGATTGAACGTGCAAAGAACTTGGTCCCACCGAATTTCGAGAAATATATTGAAGGTATGTAACCACAATGTATGTACATATGAGTACAAATGTGTAATATACTAAATTTTTTTTTTCGCAGCCTATGGCAATGGCAAAGGACTGGCATGCAATTCCGATGATGATACCATGAGCGGCTTCGCTGAACTAACTAATGATTCCTCAATGCATGGGTATCCGCGTGCTGGTGGTCGTCGCGGTGGTGGCGGTGCTAAGGCTGGTGGCCTGCGCGACGGCGATGATGATGATGAAGATTTTTTGGAAAATAGCGATATTGATTGAGGCGAATTCATGGTTGCGTACAATAACAGCAACAATACATACAACTACAAAGAAAGCAGCTGCACCAGCAACAATAACAATAATCATTATATATGCAACAAAGCAACAACAACAAGCGAAGGTCTTTCTATCGGTGGTAGCAAGCTACAACAGCAGCGTTATTTAAGTGCTGCCGCTTATGGAATTTGTAGTGCCAATGACTTGGATTGCGGTGTAATTTCCGAAACTGATCAGCAAGCATTGCAACAATCGCAATTACGTTTGGCTGCTGCATCCAATGCAGGGAGCATAAACGTCGCCGATATTAGTAGCCATTTAACAGAAGATTCTTTTAGTTTTTCATTCATTTCAGCTTTATTAGGCTTGCATTAGAGGAGCGCATATTAGAGAAAACCTGTTAAAATATGTTACTGGATTGTTATATTGTTTATTTGACTGATCATTTGTTTATTATGCGCACTTTTATTCTTACTGTCGCCAGTATGTGTTGTGCGCCTTGAACAGTTGAAGTGATTGCATTACTGACGCAGCTGTTGAATGTATTTTGTATGATCCCATTCTCTACAAGGGAAGGAACGGCAAACCCTTTATCGATTTCTAAGTCTTTTGCTTATCTTTATTTTTTAATTATTTACTTACATATGTATTTGATTTTGCATTTCGGGTTTGCAAATATGTATTGAATTTTTTTTTATGTGCATACTTCTTTGCTGTTTATATATATTTTTTTTTTGCAGAAAAGGGGTGTGACTTTAAAATGTGATGAGTTGTAAATGTCATGCATGAATATAACAAATATTTGGTGCAGAAAATTTGTTTATTAAATTTTTTAGCATAATTGTAAATTAGGCGACGTTTTAGCACTGGCCAATACAAGAAAGGAAAAATATTTATAATTGTGGCCAACGTATTTAATTTAAAAAAAATGTAAACCCTCTTTAGGGACACTAAAATATTATTTTCTATACATAATAAATATGATGATGACAAACGGTAAATTCATTTTTTTACATTTACTTAAAATGTTCAAATGTTGTTTGGTAAATATTCTTACATATATGTACATTTACATATGTACGTACAGGCGGCCGGCGTAGGCTTTATCATTCGGTGCGCCTGATCAGTGCAACAAAATTATGAACCTCGGCAGGTAATGGTAAGCCTCCGAGTGTGTTTCAAGCATACAAAAATCTCATGAAATCCCTGTTGACAAGTTAAAGATGCTTGTCCAAGCGTTTATACAATTTTTTGAGTTCAGTTTCTAATTTATTGGTATACAAATTCATGTGTTTTCTAAACAATGGAGCAAATTTAAAAAGAAGAGTATAAACATATTTATTAGGTTGTGGTTGTCGCTGTAGCGGCTACTAAACCCCGATCGAATCGGCTCATCCATCAACGTTGTCTGGTTCAGCTATGGGGAGGCCCAGGAATTGAGCAATTTCAACAGGTTCTGTTCATTGAGACAGGGGCAGACGTCAGTAATATATGTACGTTTCCGTAATACCATAATCTCAACCGTAGACTACCAAGAACTTGGCAATTGATTAGATTCACGAAAATCCAAGAATTTTGTGTTAAATAATAATCTGGCAATTTGGCACGACAACACTTCTATGCTGTCTTCATAATAACCTGGCGTTTTAAGGGTCTTTCAAAGATTGTTGTCATTGAAAGGAACAGGTCCTGTTAATTCCAAAAAAAAAAGATAGGGCTGGAGACCTCACGTCATTTAAAATTTTTCCTAATTTAACACGATCCCATCTGTCGAAATTTTGTTGAGCAATCGTTTTTAAATAAGCTTCGGGAATAGTTGAAAAATAAATAAGTTTTCTTATTAATCAAAATTTCCGGGCAACCCCAAAAATCCAGCTTTCATCCAGTTGTCATCTGTAATACGTTTTCAGCCGCTGAAAACGCAACAGGAGTTCGGTGGCCAACCGTTTTCCCTTATTTTATTTTTCTTTTATTTGCCTTCCACTGTTCCACTGACTGGTGCTTAAACGTCGTTACAGCATTTACATATGTATCAAGATTTACTTTTTTCGGCTAATCTATCACCCCGAAAACTGCACAAGCAATATTTTTTTTTTAGCTTTTCTTAAATTTATATATATATATGCTTTTTCAACATACATACATATGAATGTATAAAATATGTTAAAATAAAAATTTCCTCATGAGTAGTTTTATTAAGTTTTGGTAATTAAACAAGTAATTTTTAAGCAAAAAACAAAACCGACTTCAATTCTCATATAAAAATTTAAGATTATCGTTAAATTTCTTATGATTCGGTGATCAGAAATAATATGGGACCACCTGTGAGGTAACACCTTTATGGCAATCGGTTAATGTGGTCCAAAGTTATGCGGTAACATACATAAACAAAAAAAAAAATATTCCGGCGAATTGATAACCTTTCTCCTTTTTGTGAAGTCGGTTAAAAAGATAACCATTAACCACACTAAACTAAAAGAGTAAAATGTTGATTGAAGTCGGTTGAAATGCGCTCTAAGGGCGGATTCATCGCTCTAGTTCTGAACTTGTTCTTTCATATGGTGGTTATATTTCACTCTCTGTGAGAGAAAGGCACCAACAACCATATGGAAGAAAAATTCTGAACTAAAACGATGAATCCGCCTTAATATATAATAATATATATATAATATATATATACATATGTAGTTTTAATTACCTTTAAATAAAGTCAAGTGAGAAAATCATATGTAAGAAAAAAATTAATAATAGTGAATAAATACATATTTCATAACAAAAACATTTTTAATATTTAAGAAAAATTTACAAATTTGGCGTGCGCAGGTACGTTCAAGAGTAGCTTTCGCATAACGGCGGTAATAGCGAATCCTTAAAAAAAAAAATTATGTTCGCTTTGCAAGTCTTGATTGAGCCTAAGCTACTTAACACAGCTTATGTATCTCTACAAACTCTTTTTACCATTTCCATTAATCAAGATTCGTTTTATTTTGCTTTAATGTTTTTAAGCACTTTTAAAACTCTTTAAAAAAAAAAAAAATAGATTTATTCTCTTTGCTTTTTTGCTTCCCAAGCATAATCGTCAATATATGAGGCATATTTTCTGATCATTTTTAGTAAGTAAAAAAAGATTCATAAAACATAAAAGGAGGGAATAAATTGGATACATGATCGATTTGCCAGAGCTTATCAGCAAATATATTAAAACATTTTTAAATTAGATTTGAATAATAAAAAGGAAGTAGTTGTATATTGCGTAATAAAAGCAAAACAATAGAAACAAATAAATCAATATTTGCTATTGGAAAATTAATTTAAATGTTTAAACCAACATGGAAATATGAAATTTTCAAGAAGAGACAACACAATTGCATACTTTGTACGCGTCGACAACATTGAACTGACATATAATGAAATGAGTTGGAAAAATAAAGTGTACTATTATATCGACTTCGATTTATAAAAAGTAAAAAATAACCTTTGTTTTAATATATATATGCATATTGTCGTTTAAAGTGCAAAACTGCGTATCAACAAAATGCAAAACCGCGTATCAGCAAAATGCAAAGCCGCGTATGTGAAGTTTTGCAGAATCACGATACGCGGTTTTGTACTTTAAACGACGATATGCGTATCATCGTTTAAAGTACAAAAACGCGTATCGCGATTCTGCAAAATCGCGTAACTGACATTGGCAGCCAAAAATTGGATTTGCTCACACAAGCTCTTGGCTCAATCCTTATCCATTCGTCCTGAAATATACTAGGCAGATATGCGATTGCTTTATAAAAAAGAGAACCATTTTGAAATATGAGTGTTTTTACTATCTAGAAAATTATTTATACAACCTCACATACGCGGCTTTGCATTTTGTTGATAGGCGGTTTTGTACTTTAAACGACGATATCTACTATGTATGGGGGTGAATTTCCGCGAGTTTGAACCGCGTTTTCTGCAATTTGAAGTTTCTTACATTTTTTGGTTCAAATCTCACTGTCTCCTTGTCTCAACAGGAAAATGACGATTGCAGAATAGTTACCCTGAGTGAAGTCCTGTATAATATTGTATACTTTACTAATCACGACTTGAAACTATGTTGTTGTTGTAGCAGCATACAAGCTCCCCAAAGAGTTTTTAGGGAGTGTTGCTGGAGTGACAGTCCTTGGCCAAATATAAATCTGGGTCGTTCCGGTTACGTAGACCCGACTGTCGTGGGAAAGACTTGAAATTATATTTTTTTTTTAGTTTTCTTACCTGCCCTCTCAATTGATTTTAATTTTCTCAAAAACAACACACTTTCATAAAGTAGTTTTCAGTTTATAGTATATATGTATCTATATATTTTTTATTTCATTCGTAGGGCTTTGCAATAATAAATCCTTAAAGCAATATCAAATAAACCAAAAACCTATACAAACCAAAACTTAAAGATATGAAGCAAAAATGTTCGCTTGTGTATAAAATTTTGCTCGCTTTTTTTATAACACCCATTTAAGTTAAAACAAATACATTATTGGCAATTCTCAGTACTTAACTTATACATTATACACTAACTACAAAAAAACTGGAATTATTTGACAATTTATAAATATATAGAATTGGCTTAAGATAACAAAAAGTAAAATCGGGTTAAAATTCATCAAATTATACTTCACTGCTACCACTTGCAGCTAACATCGCAGCTGTGCTGAATGGACCCACAGGCTGCGGTGCGATGTCGAAATCTGGCACATCTAAAACATTACCCTTTTGCTGCATTACGGGCGGTGCACGAAAAGATGCTGTTGATAAGTCCATTAACGACGGTTGCGGTTCGGTGTTTATTTTTGGTTCTTTCTGCGTCGTACTTTTCATCATAGGAAGCTGCTGCTGAATGTGTTGTTGTTGCAGTTGTTCTTCCCGCAACTGTTGTGGGCTCTTAACATAATTTATTGGTATTATACCAACACTCTGACGATCCACGGTACAGGCAGTTGCCCAGCCAGTATTTAGCATGCCTAGGGTATTCTGTATCTCCTTCGGTGCAATCAGTAGTGGTTGATTGCATTTTATACTCAACTCACTGGGATTTCTTGCTTGAAAATCATACATTGCGATTGTTTCTATGGGATTCATCCATTTGGTTGGATTTCGTGCTGCAAAAGGTAGAAAACGATTAAAATATAAGCCGTATCTAATCTAGTTGTTTTAAGATATTTATAAACACATGTTTAAATTGCGCGATAAGGCTGCTACTAGGGGCAATATGTGTCGTATAAATCTATACATATACATATGTACACGCACACACATATATACATACATACATATACACATAGATAAAATAAAATCATTGCAAATGCATACCCTCTTCCTGTGCAGTATTTGTTACTGTGCCCAAGAGCCTCATTATTAGATATGGTGCTGTAAAAATGAAGCTTATAAAAGCCAGTACTGGCCATGGTGATTGACCCTTGCGTGGTAGCTTAGGGGCGCCTGGTTGTTGTGATGAATCATTTAGAGCCTCAGCAAAAGCTTGCTTGAATTTTTCGCTTGATGGATCCATTTCCGATAAGCGCAGCCAGTAAAGTATTCTGCGGAGAATGAAATTTTTAGTAAAAACAGCCTAAATAACATTCACACTAACTTCTTATATATCCATGTTAATCCACGATATACGGCAAATGTCTGCCAAAATTGTGCGAATACACCACGCAAGCGTCCAAAGTTTGCTGCCACGCCCAATATTGCACGGAATGAGCTAGTGAGTGCAAAAAATGTAGAATCCAACATTGCAGCTATGTTTCCAATGGCTGAAACAAGCGATTCAATACTTTCGAACGCAGGTCGGGAGCTAGCCTCAGCCAATTGTATGAAGCGCGTCTCAGGATCCATCGGATTAATGCCTCCCATACCAAAACGATTGTATGCGCTGCCAAAACCACCACCGTAACCTCCATACGAACCAAAGCCACCAAAGCTACCATAACCACCATATGAACCAATAGCGTTGCCGATTCCATTATAACCCGCATAACCACCATATCCGCCAAAACCGGTATTAGCATTGTAGCTACTAGGGGTCACACCATAAGGTGACTGGGGCAGTGGTGGTGGTTGCAATGATCGTACATTACCAGCGAAGGGTGTACGTAGTTGTGTGTCGCTTGTGCCTCCCATCATGCTAACTCCAGCTCCAGCTGCTATACCAGACGGAGGTATTAGATTCGGTTCAACCAGCACCGGGCTTCGGAAGTTATTGGCGCTGTCACCGATATCGACCATGGTTTAAGAGCCCTTTGGTCGCCAGCCAATTTACGTACTACTTGGACTTTGAGCTAAATCCTCTACGTTGACTTTATCAATGCTCTTGATTCGCGTACTAAAAAGCTAACATACAGTACTTATTTGTTTTGCGAGTCAAACTTATTTTTTTTTTTTTTTATAAACTAGATTGTAGTACAATAAAAATATTTTTTACCAAAAACAATGGCCTAAAAAACCACTGGACTTTTTAACAAATGCACAGAATGACAGTCCGTAGGATGACAGTTGACTGAAAGATTAAAAAAATGTGCTGCCAGCTACCATAAAATGTCACAAAACTAATTAAAGTTAAACTGTTGCCAGTCAGATGTACATATTTTTCGCGATATATGATCTCACGACATCTTATTTGTAAAAATTGTCGTGTTTTTGTTCTTGGTTCCCAGGTAGAGAATGTTTTTCCCAGCTTTGACGTCTCGCTTCCAGCATGCACCACATTTTGGGCAAAATTGGTACCTGTGGGGCGATTTGGTAGTCAGGTTTATGTTGTAACACTCGGAAAGTTTGGTTGTTCTGAATTCATTAACCATCAGAATATCTGCATGCCGTTGTTTTAGTGCTGCGATTAGTAACCTATTAGGTATTCGCCTATATCCGCGTATATGTGAGTTTGAAGCAATTTTGGTGGAACCTATACATATCAATGTACTCTCTTTTGTGTTTGTATACCCTGCATATCAGGATTTTTAAAGAATTTTCTTTAAGAAATCGTTCAGAAATTTCTTTACTAGTTCTCGTCAACCACTTCATATTGGGCTTGTTCGAGCGGGAAGAAATGAATCCCCATATGGGGAAAAATATAAAATTTCACATTTTCTCCTTAACAAAATTTGCTTTTTTATAGTGTATTCGTTATGAAATGAAATAAAATAAGATAAAATACCTTTTTAAGAAAACAAAGTGTGTATACTGAGAAAAAATAAAAAGCATTCAACTATATTAATGGGCAAAGAATAGTGAAAGAAGTAACACTGTTTCACGTAAGGTAGTCAATATGGCGGAATTAGAGCGAGAAGTTGCCAACTGATAACAACTTGTATTATTGCATCATGGAACGTAATGATTGCAATTCGAAAAAGCCCATTGTTTTCCTTAAATACTCCTAAAATAATCGTAAAAAAAATTCCGATACTCTGAAAGATTTCGGGAGCATTTATTTGCAGGTTATATCACGATAATCGATTTTTTAAATCGATATTCCAGGGTCGATATATCGAAGACATCGATAATTTACCCGCAATATCGACATTTAAGTTGAAATTTATTTTTCATCTACAAAAAGTGTATGGGAAAATACTAAAGAAGGTTTAATCAGCAACTTGTGTGAATAATTTAGCGCAAAAGTTTTACAAGCCGATTAAGTCGACCGGCATGCCGTTTTAACCTCAGTAAATATACAAGATGGAAATAACACAATTAGGTGAGTTGATAGGCAGGTCTAATATTCTATTCAATCGGGAGCAGGATTTTCAACATCGATTTTTTCGATATCGATATTGTTCAGCCAGATTATTCTGCATATCGATATTTTATGGTGTGATAACCGCTTTTTGAATCGATATTCCCTGGTCGATATATCGAAGACATCGATACTTTGCTTGCATTATCGATATTTAAGTTAGAATTAAGTTCTGAACACATTGAATACGACGAGCTACGGGCCACAGCTTCCAGTTTGTTATCTTCATTATCTAAACGCTTTGTCGATGGCGACATGATTTTTTTGAACGCGGCAGCGACATCATGAATTTGTATGAGTTTGACATAAAAGAAGAGGAAGAACCTTATCGTCGCCGGAAAAATAGAAATAGATCTAATCTGGCCACAACCACAGCCCTCGCGTAGCCCGGTCGTCGCCAAAATAATTATCTACATAAGAGTACGTGTTAAAATAATTTGACAGCTGTAGTCCGTAGCTCGTCGTTTTCATTGTGTTCGAGCTATTAATTTTTCATCTACAAAAAATTTAAAGGGTTCTTTATTTTGCTGATCGATTACATATAGCCACTTTAAAGATAAATGTGCCCTTTACTTAAATACCCAAACTGAAAATTTAAATGACAAAGCTCCCTTTTGTAAGAAAAAATATAAGTACGTCATTTTCGTAGTTATAATAGGTGCGTTCGTTTAAAATCTCCAGCAGAAACCAACCAACTGCCAAATTCCGGCGAAATGTCTTCTGTTCGCTCACAAGAGAGAAATATCCAAAATGTACGCGAACAGAAAATTTGCAGAAACTTGCAAGTTAGACGAACAGCTGATATAATTTTTGTTTACATTCAAAAGTGTAAAATTTAAAACGTACGAAAAGTTATCACAAAGTGTTATACCGACACAGTTTATTGATTAAACAAATAACTACTTATTTCTTACAAGTTTAATTAGTCGCATTTTGTAATTTTTAACTTCCAAACCATCAAATTCAATTTTGTGATTTGCGTAAATGCCAACCAGCTGTTTTTGATCAGCTGTTTTCCTGTTGGCAAATTGCTGTTGGCAAAAATTGTTCCAGCAGAAACCAGCAGCTTCCCCTCAAAATGAAATGTCACTTTGCTCTCTCAATTTCCCCTACTTTGCAAGTTTTTTGCGTACGCGAACGCAAAAACTTGTAAGTTTTGGTTAAACATGAACAATTAACAGCTACGCGAACGAACCTAATTACATATTTATGACAATGAGATGATGCAATTTTGCATTGATCAGCATTGCCAACTTTATTTCCATTTAAATGGATATTTTGTTATTCAATTGCCATTGTGTTATGAAAACACTTCTGGTTTAAAGTACGTTTAAATGCCACTTTAACTAAAAGGAAACTTTTGTAAAAGGAACTTAAAGTGTTTCATTATGAAATCGGCCCTAAACTAGGTTTAACCGGCAGCTTGAGTGATTTATTTAGCTCTTAAGTTTGATAAACCGCTTACATGGTGTATACGGCTCTTAACTCGTTGCCACCGTTAGACTTAGGGCCAGTTTTTCAGTGCCAGTTTAAACTTAGATTAAGTAAACTGAGTTTAAATTGAACAGCTGGCTCACATTTGATTGGCTGTGCTTACCCTGCAAAAATCGTTGGACCATCCCTGCAAAAATCGTTGGACCATGTAGTCTATTTGTGGTAAATTGGAGTACTTACAAAAGTGTGCCTCTGTCATGCTGTATCGGACCAACTCGTGTCTCTGCACCATTTTATTGTTACCCCGATCACTGCTCCTGTTTATTGTTTGTTATCCGATCACTGCTCGTCTTTTAACGAAATGTCATTGAAGTTGAGCATTTGAAAGCACATTTGCATGTCTGGCTGTAGCTGAACGTGTAGAGACCCTGCAAAAATCGTTGGACCATGTGACCTATTTGTGGTATTTTGGAGTACTTACAAAAATGCTCCTCTGTCATGCTGTAGCGGACCAACTCGTGTCTTTGCACCATTTTATTGTTACCCCGATCACTGCTCGTGTTTTAACGATATGTGATTGAAGTTGAGCATTTTAAAGCACATTTTCATGTCTGGCTGTAGCTGAACGTGTAGAGATGCTCGATGTTAGTTGTTAGCTCCCAGCATGTTCGGGTTCAAATACCGAAAGAGGCAACATGTAATTTTTTATTTTTGTTTTTGGTTTTTATTAATTGCGAAAAAGCATCTGTGAAATGAAGAACAAAAGCGTGTACAAACGAAAAATCAAATCAACAACGTCATTGTTAATATGTTGGAGTAGTTTTGTGCTACTCTGATGTAATGCAGAGATGGAGTATATGGTCCTGCCCTAGGACATCGCAATGTTAATTGGACCATATTTTTTATAAGAATTGTGGTTAATTTTGGAGTACTCCGTGGCCCTTAGGGAGTACTCTTTACATGCATGCATGGAGTAGTCGCGATTTTTGCAGGGGATGCTCGCTGTTAGTTCTTAGCTCACAGCATGTTCGGGTTTGAATGCCATCAGAGGCAACATGTAATTTTTAATTTTTGGCTTGGTTTTTATTAATTTCGAAAAAGCATTTGAGAAGTGAAGAACAAAAGCGTGTACAAACGAAAAAATATAACAACAATGCCACTGTTAATATGTTGGAGTAGTTTTGTGCTACTCTGATGTAATGCAGGGATGGAGTATATGGTCCTGCCCTAGGACATCGCAATGTTAATAGCACCATATTTTTTATATGAATTGTGGTTAATTTTGGAGTACTCCTTGATCCTTAGGGAGTACTCTTTACACGCATGCATGGAGTAGTCGCGATTTTTGCAGGGTTAGTTTAAACCAGCCAGATCGGGCGTTTAAACTGAGTTTAAACTACGGTCGTGCACTGAAAAACTGGCCCTTATTGTCTTGTTCTATCTTCATTAACAATACAGTCGACCGGCATTTCATTTTAATCCTCAGTAAATATCCAAGATGGAAATAACACAATTTGGTGAGTTGATAGGCAGGTCTAATAGTCTATTCAATTGGGATTAGGATTTTCCACATCGATTTCTCCGATATCCATATTGTTCAGCCCCGATATATCGCCATATCGATTTTACATGCAATGAACTAAATTGATTGATGATATCGATACTTTCTTAAAAATCGAACATTCCTGCTTGACAATGCTTGTAATTGTAGTTTTTGTTAAAGTTTTGTAAAAAATTGTTGTGCAAATAAATGAAGGCGGCCAGAAAATATTATCAAGAATTATCCACAAAACTTGAAAGCGTGAATAGCGAAGCGAAGATGCATAAAATACGTTTAACATTTAAGAGAAGATAAGTTCGTTCAAAAGTTCTGAAGGGTTACTACCAAGTACAGCAGCCAGCCGACTGAAGAATTTCCGCAATTATACGCATTGGACAACTCTTGACACCTTGATTCATTATTAGTGATACAAGAAAAAAAACGACACCAATTGTAAAAAGCTGGAAAAAGTTAACGTACTAGCTTCAGAATAATATTTTACAATCTCGAGTTGGACACAGTTAATTAATCAAGGCAAGAAGCAATTAGACACAAATCAAAATGGTTGACCCATTCCTAGCGATGAACTATAATGTATTAGAGGTGATCTTCTCTTATTTGGATTTGCGTGATTTGCGGAATTGCGCGCTGGTATGCTGGAACTGGTATCACTTCTTAAACGATGAAAGCTCAGACGTGTGGCGAATGCATTGTTTGCGAAAACTACCCCAAGAAGCACTTAAGTCAGACTTATTGGCATCGGTAACGACTTACAAAAAAAGATTACGCGCCTATTATCACGCTTGGAACCCAAATGATTGCTCGCGTAATGTTTATATTAAGCCGAATGGTTTTACATTGCATCGGTAAGTGAAATTGCTATTAAAGCAAAGAAAGGGTTATATAAATATTCTTCACATCACATACAATTACAGCAATCCCGTCGCACAAAGCACAGATGCAGCGCGTGGAAAAATAGGTTTTCGACAAGGGCGTCATTCGTGGGAGGTGATTTGGGAAGGACCGCTTGGCACAGTTGCGGTAATTGGTATATCAACAAAGGAAGCAGCGTTACAGTGTCATGGTTATGTGGCCTTATTGGGTTCTGACGATCAGAGTTGGGGATGGAATTTGGTGGAAAATATGTTACTGCATAATGGTGACGCGCAGGGAAGCTATCCGTTGCTAAATAACCCACCCAAATATCAGGTATATGTGTAAGATAATTTATAATATGCATTCATACAATGCGGGTAAGAATATATAAAAAGGAAATTAAACACGTATACATTTTTACAATAATGCAGGTGGGTGAACGGATACGAGTCATACTGGATTGTGACGACAATACCTTATCATTCGAAAAGAACAGTGAATTTTTAGGTATAGCGTTTAAGGGTAAGTGATCAATTACTAAAATATAGAAAATATTCTAGAAATAGTAAGCATACAAGTTCTTTGAATTTGATTTAAAATGAGGTTATTACAGGTCTGCCAGATAAGAAGCTTTACCCAACAGTGTCTGCGGTGTATGGCAATACAGAGGTATCGATGGTGTATTTAGGACCGCCTTTAGATGGTTAAAATAGACATATGAGTGTATGAGAGTGGCTAAATACACTGGTTTACAGCAAAAATGTTCTATGGCTGCCACTATCCAATTCCTATGTAGAATTGCTCAGTGGTTCCGAAGTTAATTTTTTTCTATGGATACGTTTTTGAGATATTTTCAATTTACCGTTATTCAGCTTAAAGCAAAAATTGGTTCCTTTTAATCACGTATATCTTACGAACCAACTCAACAATCTTATGAATATGAAAGCTAATACAATTCTCCATAAACCGTATATACATCACTTTCCGATAGGGCTTATAGTTTCTGACAAATTAATCTTAAAAAATATCAGACTTTAACAGAAGAAAAATTAAATAAAATTATAGTTTAAAAAACTAAAACCTCGCTATTAAAACTTCCATTCGCACTGTCAACAGGTTACTTTAAGAATGGAAGTTTAAAGCAATTCCAATTCGTACTGTCATCAGGCATGTAACTTGAGAATGGAAATCGCTGCTTCTTTTAGGCGCATCAATATTACATAGTTACATCCCGAGCTAATAAAAGCGAGGTAAAAAATAACAGGTTCTGTGCCAAATTTTTGCATTTGTAATTAAGAAATAATGAGTGGTCAAATTATAATACGTAAAGATTTTTTTATGAAAAATTAGCCTGAAAGAAAGTTACTCAGACTCTACGTACACCTGACTTAACACGCTTTGCTACTCATATTTCATATAAAAAATACTTGCGCATTTTCATTTGACCACTCATTATTTCTTATTTATCCATCGATTTTCTTCATCAGTAACTTGATTTTTTTTTTGTAACAGAACAGGCTTTAGTACAAATGCAAAAATTTGGCACAGAACCTGTTATTATTTTAATTTTTCTTCTATTTAAGTTTAATTTTTTTTTCGTTTTTTCATTAAAAAAAAAAAAGACTGCAATGACTATTTAATTTGTCAGAAACTATCAGTCCTATCGGAAAGTGCTGTATATATGGTTTATGGAGAATTTCATTATCTTTCATTTGCCGTATTTTATATAACGATTTTTAAATTGGTTCGTAATACGTGATTAAAAAGAACCAATTTTTGCTTTAAGTTGAATATCGCCAAGATCTCGATAACGTATCCATTGAAAAACAAATTAACCCGATTTTCGGAATTACCGAGCAATTCTAAATAGAAATTGGATAGCGGCGTCTGGAGAACAAAAACTAAACTAAAATTCGTGATCCAGTGATATTTAGGGAGGTTGCACATATGGATTGTTTATGTATGTTTGAAGACAGAGATTTTAAAAGCGAATACTTTTATACTTTTTCCACATGTTAAAATTAAGTCAAATATCTGAGAATGAATTTTCGTACATAAACACATACTTACTAGGTACACATAACTGACTTAACTCTGCTTTCAAATATTATCATATAACTTTGAAACTTTCTTTAATTGACCGGCGCTGAATTTGGCAAAATAACAATTTTAAACACACATTAACAAAAATAAAATAAAATAAAAAGTGTAATCGTAATCGTAATAACACTAAACCGTAGTTAACTTGCAGAATGTGTAATATACAAAGCGCGTATCCAAATTTATATATATACTTGAGAAAAACAAAAATCAAATACATAATAACAACGCGTATGCAATACTTGTAACGTAGATGTTATATATCGTTACCTTAATATAGAAAGGCCCTATCTCACATCGTCGCCGTAAAAATCCGTATTTAAGTAAAAATCCAAATTTCTCTTTTTGATTTATTATGATGCATTTCATCGAATTATAAGTCCGCACATCAATTTAAGCAATAAAAAAAAATTTTAGTTAGTTACGGTTTTTCGCATTTCAACGACTATATGAGTTAGGGCCTTTCTATATTAAGGTAACGATAAGTAGTTTTACTTACATACATGCATTGTTCGGATACTGCATACCAAATTTATTTTCCTAAAAATATTTAGCCATGTGCGAAGCCCTAATTGTTCATCAAATTTAGAAAACATAAAAAACACATTCACATTATATTTTTAAATAACTTTTTAAATCCGAAATATTTGCTTTTTACAAAATAGAATTGCCATTAATATACGAAAAGTGCATTTAGTACAGTTTTTACAGTTATAATATTTGCGAGCAAAATTTCTTAAATTTATCGCACATTTCTATAGATATTTCACTCACATTCAAGCACTAGTTTACATGCACACAACATCCTGTGCACATTGTAATGTGGCTTCAAAATTTTACATATACATTTGGTTGGCTGTTATTTGAATTGCACTTTTAATGCCACGATTTTGAATAAATATAAATGTAATTATTTTAAAATAACACTTTATTTTGATAAGTTTCACTAGTCCATGTAATCAGTTTGTATATTGTATTTGACTTGAAATGTATATATTTATGTATAATTATTTTAAGTGTACTTCCAAAAAGTACGTAAGTTGATTCGTTCTTTCAATATTCTTTTCACTAATAAACGTAGATGGTAGATTAAGCGAAACTAAACATGTAAATATAAAAAGAAAACAATGCAAGCAAAATTGACCTTCAAATAAAAATATGCTCTTTTATTAGTTACATATGTAGATGTACTTATATATATTTAGTTATTAATACAATGCCGAAAATTAATGTTATGATAGATTTATTCACTGTCGTTTACTGGTGCGTCGTCATCATCATCAAATAAGTCATCAAAATCATTGTAGAAGTCTGCATGAACTTGCTTCTCATTAGTTGGCAGATCGATGAGTAGACCAGAGGAGCTGCCGGACTGAAACGCATATTACAAATATATGTATGAGTTTATTCAAAATGTGTAATAAAAAAGTTGCATTCATACGTTTAAATGCGCCTGTCGCAAATGTTTATATCTGCCGGAGGCTAGTTCCAGCGCCTAAACCAAAGTGCACACTTACCTCCTCCATGTCCGTACTGAACATTTCATCAGCAGCCGGCGTTGGCTTCATCTCGCGTAATACAGGATCCGTTTTACTGGTAAATATTTACCTTAATTTATATTAAATATCTTGCAAAACTCACTTTTACCAATAAAACAATTTTCGACAAAATTAAAAAGTCACTAGCGAAGAGAGCAAAGCAAAATGTCAAACAATCGAAAACAGCTGGGTGTGTTCAGTGCGCGCGTATGGCCTATGCAGGGTGCGTGTCTCGGCTGACAACAAATAAAGCGATGGGCTGCCTGTCCTTGCTGATGGCCTGGTGAATATGGGATTCTGCAAATTTCAAATCAAGCATCAGACACGGTAAAAAACCGGTATTATTCCTGGGTTTAGTGTAGAATTGTTTCTTTGGTTTGCTATTTTTCAAGATTTAGCTAAAACTAATTTTTTTCTAAACTATTTGCTATAAAATTCCAAAATCATTTTTATTTAAGAGTGGCAACACCGTCGGAAGTGCCGGTACAGAGTATATCCATGGTGGAATCTAGGTGTATATCTAGGCTAAAAAAGTACTAGCTGTTGTCATTTCTGATCGCCTGGTGTAAATGGGCGTGCATACCGAGGCTGCATTTTTTAAAATGGGATTTTCCGGAATGTATAAAGAAACGCAGCCTGAACCGAAAATATTTCAATCGAATATTAAATTAAATTAAATTTAATTAAATTAAGTTAATTAAATTTAAAGAATTTGCATGCTGCGTCAATCAGCAAGAGGCTATGAATTGATTCGAGGTTAGTCAATTAGGTAATTCTTTTAAGCGTTCCGGTTTTTGCAAGAGGGTATCAACCACGGCAGCACACTTGGCAATACCGTAAATGGACAAGCGGCAACTGACGGCTAGCAAACAGCTGTTGAACGTATCAAATTCTAAAAAAATTTCAATAAAAGTCAAAGTTGCAAAACTGGTGTTTGTTTTTATTATTACTTAGAAACATAATAAAACTTCAATATGGTGCGTGTAGGCCTGCAAATCTCAGCAACTTTAGAGAATATAGAAAGTCTGGAAACCAATCATCCGGATTATCCATTTTTCGTGAAAGTGAAATGTACAAATTGCGGCGAAACATCCGATAAATGGCACGATATAACCGAATCGGAGCGTTCGCAAGGGGGTGCAGATACACGTAATCCTGAAGGCTTTAATTTCTATATGAAATGCAAAATGTGCAGTCGGGAGAATAGCATTGACATAGTGGAGAAGACAAATGGTAGGCGGCACAAACACCGGCATGCATACAACCTTCGCAGAAGAGGGCAATTTTAAATGTTTTGATGTTAAATTTCTTTCAGCACCTTACACTCGGGAAGATGCAGACAAATTCAAAACTATTGTTGTCTTCGATTGTCGCGGTGTTGAGCCGGTCGAGTTTTCACCACGTGCTGGTTGGATAGTAAAATCTGCAGAAAATGGGCAAACATTCGAGGATGTTGATCTGTCGGAAGATGATTGGGTTGAATATGATCAGAAGAATAGGCAGTCGATTGGTGTGTACGAATTCGCGTCGCAGTTTATAAAATTGAAGAAATAGAGCGCGCCGGCACACGAGAAGCTGGGAACTCGTTTTAATCTTAGAAGCTGCCAAGAAAATTTAATTTTTATAAAATGCATAGATATTATTTATTCTATACTTTTTAATCTGATGCATTTGTTGAAGTAAACTTTTTTATCTGAAATTAAATAAAAATCCAAATGAATTTATAGTCTTACAAAATTTAAATCGATGATGGCGTTGAATCTTTTGTGTTGGTCAAACAAATCTTTTTAATAAAAGCACTTGACAGCGAATATAACTTACGGAATTTCATTGAGGAAAGTATGTGTGTAAATTTTCAAAAGTCAAAAGTTTTATGACAATTTAGACTTGTCTACTGAAACCCACCAAGCACCACTAGCGCATACGAACACTTTTGTATGTATGTAGGTACACATCGCTTCCTTAGAGTGAAAAGTTGATAAATCCCATTTCTTCATGTATTTCGCAAAATTTTGAATACAACATTTTGGCTGTTTTAAAGCAAAGCGAACTCCATATGAATCAAAGGGATTCGATCTTTATTAAAAAAAGATTACGTATTATTTTGGCCTTATCAGATTTTCGGCGTTTCTTCTGGACTTGGCAAATTTTCCTTGCATTGAACATAAACGAGAATAAATAAAACAAGTACCTTTATCCTTTTGGAAACAATGCATTTTTAATTTCTCTAGCCTCCTGTATCAAAATATGAGTTTTCATAAAAAGTGGACTCAGCAACTTTTCACTCTAAGCTAGCGATATATATCCCGTTGCTCTTAAACGCGTTACTGCAAAGCAGTAGTTCATTTTATTTCTAAACAACATATCGTCGATGTTTTTGCAAAATCGCCCATCGACCAATAGAAAAACCGCCTATCTTACGGCACTCAAATTTTCCAGGAGAGCGAAAAAACGGCTTTCCTTTGAAGGCATTGCCTTGATGGGTGTCATTTTTTCTAGCTATTATTTTACAAATATGTTGCTTTAATAATGATTTTACGATTTTTATGCATAAATCACGACGCCTGGTGTTCAGGGTTACTAAATCTCGTTTTTGCCACAACAGCGATGGGCGGTTTTGCAAAAACATCGACGATGTAATTATTGGAAATGTCTAGTATGCGTAAACACGGTTTAATGCCGAATTACAATTTAGTTGCAAAAATGGGGCATTTCTATTAAATATGGTTTCAGCATTAAAGAGTATTTACTTGCATTAATGCGACAGTATGCATTTACGAACACGGGGTAGATTTACTTTTTTCGTTGTTATAAATTCCAAATATAACCTAAAACTAAAATTAACACAGCAATTTAAATAAACAGCTAAAACGCCGGCCAGTGCGCAAAAACAAAACATTTTACCTACTCTAAGGAAAGGGAAGTTAATAGTAGTAAAAAACACGAATTCGATAGTATAATGGGTACTTATAATTACATTGTCAGTTCATTTAACAATAGGCTACAATAACTATAAAAATTAAAATTCAACTAAAAGTTAATAAAATAGTGGCTAGTGCGAGGCACTGATGTGTATTAAAAAGAAACGAGTAAAAATATAAAGATTGAATAAAACTAACCGCTTAACTTAGTTATTTGCAGTTCAAATGAATACGAAAAGAAATGTTATCAAAAAAATAATTTACATAAAATGCGAGCGTTAATCAAACAGTTATATTAGTTATAAAACGTTTTTTTTAAGCTAATGATGAGTTACAGTATCTATCTACTAAAAATATATATGCATGTATGTGTGGACTTAATAAGCACCCCTTTGTGATGCATTTCTAAATATGTATGTATGTAGATCCATATGTATATGCACAAATTTTCATACATACATATGTATATTGGTACACATGATATGCCTTTACATATCGCACATTTTCTGCAAGAGTGTCTTAATCAAAAAAATTTAGAACTCGAGGAAAACGACTTTAAAGTTTATGCCCCCATGGTAAAAATTAATACACATTTTCTTCAATTTGCACAACCTGGAAAAGTAGGTTGTTATCATTTCTGCATACTTAATTAAGTTTTATTTGTTTATTTTTGCATTACGACACTCTTGCAGCAAAGGTATGAGCCACTTCTATCAACTAAAAATCAATGAGAAGCGCTTAAATTTATTAAATAGTTGTTTTTCATTTTGGACCTGGACGTTGTCATAAGGCTTTATTTAGTCCCTCACAGCCTCTCGGACCTTAGGCAATTGGGTGCGGATTATGCATGTATGTGGTGTGGACGTTCACAGTTGTTAAGATAGCTTACGTTATCCATGCATATGTACATAGGCTATATTTATCATTTTTTCGCTCCTTTGTCTTCTATCATCACCATGTGTTGACGCATTTAGAGTTTATTGATAATGTTTATTTGATGTTTGCACATTCAGCTGTACTTATCGGATACTATAGGAAAACGCACGACACGCAATTCATTGCCATAATCACAAACAACTGCATCGCCGGCGAGCATTAAAGTTTTCGGACAGAGCAATGAATTCGCATGATCAAGCTTTACTTCGCGCGCGGGTTCACCAGTGCGCACATCCCAAACGATAAGTGAGCCTGAAAGGAAAGATAAATGATAACTATAATAGTGTCGTATATTTTTTACTGTAAAACTTCAAACACAAAGTTGCAGTACACATTTTTTCTGTGGTCATAAGCAATAACCACCTAAGTCGAAAAACCTGCATTCGAGAAAAAACGTTTTAAACATTTGGGCTGAATGTCAACGATATGGGGAAACCAAAATATGTCCGTCTATAACTTTTTAAATAGCCTAGCTGGCGAGATGGGGATTTCACATATACATGGAATAGTAGTTGCAGAATACGATAGCATATATAACTCAATTCTTTCTTAAGTCGACTTAGGAGGCTATTGCTAATGACCACAGATTTTTTCCCCCTTTTTACAACGCTCATATACTACAACAGTTTTTCGTAAAAAAGAAGACCATAATTTTTAGTTCAATTCAATTGGTTTTGTCCAGAGAATAGGAATTTGAAGAAAAATCAATTTGTTGTTATTATCAAATTTAAGCAAGAAATTTCTAAGCAAAACCAAAACCGACGATAAACCGAAATTTAATTAATATGGGACCACCTTTCCTTTAAAAGAATTATAGAAATTGGTTGACGTGGTGCAAATTAATGCGGCAACATACCGACCCCTAACCGCCAAAATAACGTAAGCGACATTTTTTTCAAAATTTTCTTTTTAATTCCTACAGCATGCGTGAAATAGATTCCTACTAAACATTAAACATACTTTTGGAATGATAATCTTGAGCCGCTCCGATAGCGAGTTAAAAATACGACTTACATTTTACGACAAGCGCTTTTCAAAGCAACTCATCTCGTACTCACCCATTTTGCAAGTTACCAGCAAAAAAGGCGTCAACATCAACAAACTCGAATAGGCATTCAGTATATTAATTGTTGTCAACAAGTTACCCTGAAATCGTTCCCACACACAAATACGCTCGTCCACGCCCAACGATATAACATATGTGGGTGCACATACTAACGCCGTGACGGCACCATCATGCGCTTGTATGTTATACATGCAAGCACCAGTAAATAAATCCCACACACACAACATACCATCCTGGGAACCAGAGCCACCAGTGCCGGGTTGCCAATGGTCGACGAAAAGGCAAGTTATCGGCCCGCAATGACCGTGTAGTGAATATTCGACGTTGGCATTTGTCAGACTATACACCTTGGTAGATGTGTAAGGAGAAAGTAATGGTCATTTGTATGAATAAATTAACATTAAATATCGAAAAAAGGAAAAATATCTATATACATATGTATCTACGTATAAATATTAGAGTTTTTGTACTTACTTTGAGCGTGTGATCCTGACTGCCAGTGAATACCATTCCATTAGACACCTCCATACAGGTAATTGGCTGTTGATGTGCATAACGCGCTGCTTCCAATGTTATTTTCATTTCTTCCTTATTGGAAGGTGGCGGCGATTGGCCGGGTAGACATCTATGTTGTTGTTGCTGCAGTGGAATTTGCGCATGATGCATCAGACCAATGCTGCCCGCTGAGCTAGTTCGAGCGTGTGCTGCGCAATCAAAAATTAAAAGAAAAATTATAATAATAGTAATTATATTTAATTACATCGAGTCTAAAAAACCGATAATCAATTAGTATTGTATTATGCATTCCATTAATTAAAAAAAAACATAATTTTGATTTGTCTTTCTAAATAGTTTAAAAGCATTTTTTGAAATGTTCATTACAAAATATATGTTATATTTAATTAATGTAGTTCTTTACCATTGTTTTCGCAGTACAAAAACTAAATGCCTATCCCGAGTTAACTAACTCTCTATCGTCAAAACTTCCATTAAATTGAATCTTTTTCTTGCTTTTTTCACTTCGACTTACTTCTTCGATAAGCTGAGGTAAAATTCCAATCGATTTGTTGGCCTTTGCAATAGGTTTCCAATCGGAAGAATTCCAGACGTCCACATAAGCGCCCCACAATCACACGATCGCCACTCAAATGAATGTGTGTTATGCCTTGATTGCTCTTCAATTCGCCAGGCGAAATACACTGCAAACAATATATGTAGTGCCAAAGACTAAATTATTCAAACACAATCGCACCTTCAACACGCCCTCCGGCATCTCCCATAACTCGACGCGCCCATTCGCACAGCCTACCGCTACAAGATTGTCAAATGCACTCATACACCAGATGGGCGAGTATGCCACCCGTTCGAACACCACCTGTCCACCTTCCCGCTTTGTCTCTATTTGCATATGTTCGCGCTGTATTGTCGTCAAATTCTCGCCATTGCGTGCATCCCACACCTTTATTTGGCCACTCAGACAACAACTGATGATATGAGAACCATCTGATATGAGACATTCGACAGTATGTTTGTGACCCACAATTTTCGTTGGCACACCTTCGAGTATATGTTCTGTTTTTTGTGGCATCTCCGACGACTCATACCAACTGGAACGCCATTCCGCATAGTTGCGTGTGCATATGCATCGATAGAAAACAACCATAGTGTAGCTGAGTACAAAAATGCTGATTAAGCACATTGTGATGGCGAAGAAAAATTCCATGGGGCTTTTAGGATATAGCGGTGTACCGCCCGGGAATACCATTGGCGATTCACGACGCTCATCATCACTAAAATCAATGGGATCGAGTGCCGCTGCGAGTGCCTTCCATTGAAAGTTTTGTGTTATCTTTTCCTGAGGATTACGAAGGATCACCGCTGACTCGGGGCCAATGGCGTGCGTTAACTTAATGGTGGGTAGTAGAGTAACATAGCGACCGCTAAGTGAAATATTATATTGCTTCATAATGGTACTCCAGTGAAAATTGGAGAGAAAGTAGTTCAACTCGAAATCCGGATAGATTAGCCGCCGCAACTCCGCATCCGTGTCGTTGACGGGTCCGTTGCCCGATGCGCCTGGAATGAAGTGAAACAATTGCAGGCGTTAGATTAGCAGAATGTGTGAAAAATTATTATACCGCAATACAATATTGTAATAATTATCGCTTCTTTGACTTACCTTTATTTTTTTCCTTTTTCCTCACATTTTCACCTTTATGAATGCGGCGCACTGATTCATCAGCACTGTCAGTTTTTCCATTGTTACCCTTACCAGCTGTCGACGGTCCACCATGTATTGCGTGCTGCATATTCGAAAAGAAACTCGATACTGCAGTTTGTTCGCTTGTTTTGACAAACCTTTGCGATTCTTCATAAGCAAATGATGTACGATTGCTTTCCACGGCGAGCAGATTTTCCAAACAGCCGGTATTATAGACTATCGTACAGATCCACACACTCATCCAGATCATGAAGGCTCGCTGAAAGAAACGTGTACGTGCCCAGAAGTTAACAATACGCAGACGTTTCGGTATGCGAACGTTATTCGCTTGAATGCCAACCTTTGCGGTCAAATCGGCTGGGTGCGAATTGAGATCGGCGAAAGTGAGCTTCGGATGGGACTGTGAACGATGAAACATACCCAAACCACCATTGCTCATGGGAGAGAAAGGTGCGTGCGCCACATCACCTGTCAATGATGCCACAGACACGCTCTTGTCGAAGAAACGATAATCGTTGCGTCCATTGGGCAGCATGCCGAAACCGCCAGGTGGCGGTGTGGCTGTACTGTTTGTCATAGTGCACCTCAACATCATTTTGGGCAAATGCTTCGCTTCGGTTGTGTATTCGGGCAGCTTGATATTCATTGCCAGTATGGTGGAGAAAAGCAACATTTGCAACATAAAATCAGAGAGTAAACCGATAATTGCAAAAATGCTGAATTTTTGTATGACTGGTACCATTGTGATACAGCCTATTGTGAGTATGGTAATCTCAGTCAGTAGCGTTTTGGAAATGTGCCAACCCTCCTTGCTGAGCGCCTTGGCAACACGTATCTTTACGTCGAAAGTTTCTTGAGTGCAAACTACGCTTTTCGTTATCACCAAACAATTTTCCAGACCAACTAGAATTACCAAAAAAGGAAATACATCCTTCGATTGCAAACTGATGGTCAGGCCAAAGAATGAGCAAACACCAAGCGACATAGTTAGGCTGCCGAGCACTGTTATAACGGCACAAACTGCAAGCAATAGACGCGAGCGAATTATTTCGATTTTACGTACCGAAAAATACATATAGATAAAGAGCAGCACAAAAGCAATGGCCAGTGGCATAAACTCCCACATTTTGAACTCATCCGGGTAGAAAATGTACGTAATTGAAGCTTTATCAACGCGCTTGTTCGGCTGTGATGACGATGCTGACTGGGAGGTTGGTTGATCAGTTGCTGTTTTACTGAGTGACAGTGGTGGATAGTATTGGAAGAGTTTTTCTTTTAGTGTGCTCAAATACTCCTGATCGTTTTGGTTTAGAATCAAAGTTATGGCGTATTGTATTATGCGGGAACGCGAACGAAGCGGATAACGCTTGAAGCCAGTATCTTGCATTGGTACACCGAAGAGCATTTCCGCTGTGGAGACTTTAGTTTTTTGGATGTTCTGAAAATGAAAATTATACAGTTTTTTTTTGAGTTAGTAGGTATTTTTATAATGACTGTTAGAAAACATAAATGGGACTGTGATTTCCCTACAGGAAGAGGTCAAATATGTAGGAATAACCCTGGATAAGAAACTCACCTGGGAGTCTCATCTCAACGCTATTATCAACGAAGCAACGAAAAACAGGGGCAATGATAACAACACCCACCGCAGGTATGGGATCTCTACTCAACCTTACACGCCTTCATGTGGTAATACAAGAGGAAGCAGCAACGCAGGCACTCATGCTACATAGGAAAAATAAATACAAACAAGGCGACCTTGGCGGACACCTTGAAATCTTGAAGGGAAAGGGCAACCCAAAACCCTGTTCTCAGACCAAATTGTTCCCATCCTCAGCTTCACAAAGAGGTACAAGATCATATTTCCCACTATGAAAATTTGAGCAGAAACCCCACGTGATTCACAAAAATGGTATACCGATGATTCAAAAACACCTTACGATGTAGGTGCGGATGTTGTGGACTTGCAATTTCGCACATCTTCGCCATTAAGTAAACGGCGGCGATATTACAGGCGGAACTAGCTGCCATACTGGCCCACGTCTTAATAAACAGGCAATATGTCAAAATAAAAATCTCCATACTCCATACTGTCCTCAAAGCTCTAGATAGCTACTCGTTCTCATCAAAAACCCTTATAGAGTGCCATAGAGCACTCAATAACCCAGCCGCCTAAAATAGGGTCTCCTAATGTTGTTGTAACAGCATATAAATTCCCCAAAGATTTTGGGGAGTGTTGCTGGAGTGACAGTCCTTGGTCAGATATAAATCTGGGTCGTTCCGGTTACGTAGACACGACTGTCGTGGGACTCCTTAATCTGTTAGCCTGGTTAGGACGGCTATGATAGCTATGAAAAAGCCGACTTCCAAGCTACTAAAAAGGGGCAGATACACCTTTTGTTTGGCCCAGCCCATTTCTTGGATTCAACAACAACGATATCAAGAAGGACCTCAACAAGTGGGTAATATCCCGCACTGCTAGCCATTGGAATAAGTTAGAGGGATACTAAACAACTAAAGTTGAAATAGGGGGTTTAATAGATCAAATCTGGCCGCGGTTAAATGAGCTTGAAGATCCACCCTTACATCACCATAACCATAACCATAGGGTGCCGAAAATAACTAAACCGCAATAATTAAATCACAAGATTTTCATTTTAAGATCATTGCAAAACGATATTGTTCGATTTTTACCTTTTCAATCAAGAACAATCGTTGAATCTGGATTTTAATGTTTCGGTCAATAATAATCGTTATTTTAGATTTTTATTTATTTTTACGATAATTTTTAAGTGTGGAGACTGAGTTTTTATGATCGCTTTAAAAACTTTATGATATAAAAAATTAAATCTGAAAATATGGTAGAAAAAATTGAAATCCAAAATAACGAAACAAATATCTTAAAATAACGACTAAATTGGATCGAAAAAATAGCGATCCAAGATTAATGGTTAAATTATGATTTTTATTTGAAATCACATAACCGTGAGATACGGTGTCTGATTTAGATATGAATGTACATATGTATGTATATTGATCTTTTTTGATAAGATAATAATAAAAAAAATCAAAGATTGTATGAAGAGTCGTTTACGCAAATCGCGTAAATAATAAAAACTTTTCTTAATAATTCCGATACGATAGTTAGGTCAATGTACATTAAATATAAATGCAGCAAGATTGCAAAAAAGGAGCATCAATCATCATCCATCCATATTGCATGTGACAATGGCGTTTGTAGTTTTAGGCAAATAAAAACTTGTATTGCTTGTGTTATTTAAAAAAATATTTAAATACACACATTAGCAACTTAGTAAATCGTCATGTAAATAAAATTGTATAAAAACTTAGTACCCATGCATTAATATGTATTTTCAATTTACACAGTTACAACGCCTTTTAAAAACACAAAAGCTCTTACAATTTGTTGACAAACACAAAACAGACATTTTATGTATTAAAGTTAATTATACTGAAGCAAAAAATGTCCTTCCGGGCAAAGTCCGAATTATTGCGACACCAAGAACCGGAAAATAAATATGACTTCCATGAATCAATTCTACTGACTTTTGCAAGGTGCGAATACTGCAGTCATACAACAATAACTGTGACGGCCGCAATAGCCGTGTCATTAGAAGCGCATATTATCTCTTGGATCTCTTGGTAGGACGCAGGATCGATGACTGCACCGATCAACATCCCATAAAAAATGGGAACTTCATATGAGCTCAAAACAACCCTTAAACATTCAGCCTTATCATGAGTTTAAATTTCCCCGAACCGGTTCACTTTTCACTACGGGCGGATGAAAAGAAACTCCCGATAAGGCTGGTCGTTTTCTCTTAAGACACTTCATAGAGGTTAAAAACTTTTCGTGCCTTCATTATCGGCATTTTATTCAAGGAAAAATTCACTGCTGAGTAAAAATCCCACGCATTTATGCTTTGGGTATACAATTTCGAGCAGTATGAAATATTTGCCTAAGATAGGTAAACATAAGACTAGAAGGGTGGTGAAAAATCAACATTCATGCAAAATGAATAATTTCCAAGTTGACTCACCTTGCGAATTGTGTGTTAAGTAAGTACGTTGGCGATAAAAACCAGTTGAAAGTTTGCATACAACGCGGTGTATTAGGGATGTTTCGAACGTCATATTTTTCACATTCGCGTATGCGAATGCGAATTTTCGGAATGCGAATGTGCGAATGCGAATTTTAGGAATAACATTAAAAAAGCTATAATCAACTTATTACTTAATAGTTTTGTAAATTATTAGAATATTGACTAACCTATACAGTGTTTTGATCTAATAGTCACAAGGGGCATATTATATTAAAAAAAAAACAATAATAATAATTTTGCTGCCTTTTCTTGCCTGAGGCGATTTCTTAAAGGCTCGTATCAGTGTTGTCAAGTTTTGAATTTGAAAAGGCACTAAACCCCAAGAAAAATCGCGTTTTTTCTCGAAAAAAGCACCAAATTTTTCTATTGAGGATTTAATGGACTTTATATGCACACAAAAATTTAGTGTAGGTCTGCCGATTCAAATGAATAAAAATTAATGTTTCTTGCTTGGCGGCCGAATTCATTCAGTTTTCTATAAATTCAAATATTTTCGTCCAAACGACGCGACGTAAACCTTAGAACTTTTCTTTCCGACCACTTCAACCCTGAAACATAACAAAATTTGATTTCCCTTTTTAATGTGTCTTATTTGAGCGCATCCACCGGGTGTAAAAAAGCTGCCTACTCGATTATTCCTTTTTAAAAAGGATCGTTAATCATTTTACTGTTAGGAGATGCTGGTGCTTTTTTTAATATTCGTAAAAACTATAACAAATTCAGCCCAAACTAAAGGTCTAAAGATCGATTCCTGGTCCCAGTAACATGGACATTTTTGCAGGCAATGGCAAATTACCGTATGTAATTCTGCCATGATTGAAAGTGCTGCTACATATTTTTTTGACAAACATATGGTCTTTCGCTTATGACTGTCATTGTGCCATGATTTTGTTTCCGTTTTTGTAAAATTGCTTACGAAACGTCCAATTGCTATTTAATTTAATTTCAAACTAAACTCAAAACTAAAAAAAAGAAATACCAAAAAACGCACCAAGCACCAAACTCAAAAATTGTCGCGTTTTGAATAAAGAAAGGCATTAAGTTGGCAACCGTGGCTCGTATATAAGGCCAGCTGCAATGAACAATTGCTCAAATATTTACGGGTCAGATCTGTCAATTTGTCGATTTTAGTTTAAATTTTCACCAATCGGGAGGATTTTTACCGAGATAAGCTCGTTTTTCTTTAAGATAGGCCTTCAGTTGAGCTTTCATTTCACATTTTTTAATGTCTCCAAATTCTACATCCGAACCTTCGCTTACGCTGGATGAACCTAAAATTAATTCTAGGTTGCTTATAAAACTTTTAGCAATACTTGTTGAAGGCCCATCAATGTTGTTTGATATACTACTTAACCGTTAAGCGCCTGAAGCTAAAAGCCGGTTGTTGCCGCCACTATCTAAAATATCTTATATTTTACTAGAGTAATCGAGTACTTTAATTTTTATCGATAAATTAAAACGTCTTCTATCACGAGTCGTAAGACGAGTTCTATAATTGCGCCAATTGTACTTTAGTTAGTTCGTGCGTAAAGTAGCTGGAAAGCAATTAATCAAGATCTCGTCACGCGTCCAGGTTTTGATACCTAAAAGTGTGCAATACCTCGTATCCGCCAAATGCAATACCACGTATGACGTGGCAAAGAAAAATATTAATTTTGGTTACCCCGGTCTCTATGGGTGCCCTACTCTGTGAATTTAATGGTGAGTAACTATAGTAGAATCCCCTATTTAGTAACTTCCGTTAGAAATCCTTTGAAAAGTGTTTATGAAATAATTATTTTTTGCTATTTTGGGAAATATTCGGACTACTTCATACGTGGTATTGCATTTGGCGGATACGAGGTATTGCGCGCCAAGCGCCAATATTAGTCATTTATCAATAAAATGCTAATATTTGTTTTGTTGTTGTTAAGAAGTGTTTATTTTGTTAACAAAATACTTTAGTCCATATATATTATGTACTAATTTATTTTGGTGGAGGACTAGTTCTTTTTGAGACACTGCTTTTATACGTTCCCTAACCAACACTTTTTTTGAAACTGCATTTTTCACAGATTTTGGTAGGCTATATTAAAATACACCTTAATACAATTTTAATATAAAATACGGCAGACGAAAGCTAATAAAATTCTCCATAAACCGTAAATAAATCACTTTCCGATAGAAATTATAGTCTTTGAAAAATTAATTAATCATTTCAGTTGTTTTTATGAAAAAATTAAAAAAATCAAACTTTAACAGAAGAAAAATTAAAAAAAAAATAACAGGTTCCCTGCAAAATTTCTGCATTTATGCTAAAGCTTGTTCTGTTACAAAAAAAAAAAAATCAAGTAACTAATGAAGAAAATCGACGGATAAATAAAACATGAGTGGTCTAATGAAAATACACAAAGATTTTTTGTATGAAAGATGAGCAGGAAAGAAAGTTACTCATACGCCACGTACACCTCTCAAAATAATTTTCAATAGTTAAAAAAAATTGTATTTTATAAGTTTTTCGCATACTCGTACTTACATGATATTGAAAGATGGTTGCCAGCAAATTTGCATCTTTGGTGAAATTTTGTATATCTTGTGACCATAGATTCGCCGGTGATAATACCAAGCAATTGTATTCGGGAAATAAAACTTTCTCATCGCGTGTGCGTTTGACATTATCCACATGCCAACACGATTGATCTAATGTGCGTTTGCTGCAATAAAATGAATGAAAAATTATTAAATTTAAATGAATACATATGCAAGCATACATAAATAAGTATGAGTAATTTCAATCAAATTCGGTTAACAATAGGGGAGTTCATGTTGAATAGCATTTTAGGTGTAGTGTTGCTGCGTAGCAATCTAGCACGCAGTTTTTGCTTGGAAATGCAACAAAACATGTGCTATATTTCTACGTAGCAATTTTACACCTAAAATGTTACTCAACGTGAGCTCCCCTGAAATAAATTGTTTTTCCCATATACATTGACATACATATGTAGTACATATAAGTATGGCACATAAACCCCAGCAGGAAATGGATCTAACTATAAGCTAACTTTAAGTTGATTAGGAAGGAGCTAAAAGTCACTTATTATCTGTATATTTCCTTTGACGGAAGCAAACTATATTTCTATGGCGATAGCCGCGAAATTGTCAAGGGTGGTTTACCTGTGCATTAGATGTAGTCTGCATTTGATGTAACTAACTACTTTTGGACATAAAATATCAATAGGAAAAACGAAATATTTTTTTTATTTTTTTTTGTTTATTTTTTAATTTTTATTTACTCTATTACATTACATTTCATATTTGTTTACATATTCTGCTGTAGGTGATCCCATATTCGAACTCCGTCAGACATAACTTCAAAATGATAATATGGAATTTCGATCTTCCTTTTATTTGTCCTCAATTCGAAAAAGTATTTGCGAAGTGCAGGATATTTATATAGAAACGCGTTTAAAGAAAACAATCTCCTTCATTACTCCTGCATTACTTGTGGACTAGTTTCAAGTTACCTTGTTGTAGCTAACTACAAGTTATATATTTTATAGAAATCCCGCCAAAACAGCTAACTACCAGCGGGTTATTTTTTATCAATTGATAATTTTTTTCTGCAGGGACCGTACAAACATATATCTGGCATTTTATTTAAACAACTTAGTGACATTAAAAGGTTTGACTTTGAATTAAAAATAATAGTTTTGGTTGAACAAATTTTATATTTTTATTAATTATAATAATAATAATAGAATGGCGCTTACACATATGTTAGTGTTTGGCCGAGCTTCTCCTTCCGATTTGTGGCGTGCGCCTTGATGTTGTCACACAGAGCGGAGGGACCTACAGTTTTACACCGACTCCGAAGGCGATAGTATTTATTTAAGAGAAGCCTTTTTTAGGCAGAAATACACTCGGAGGTTTGCCATTGCTTGCCGAGGGACGACCGCTGTTAAGAAAAAACCTTTTTATATATTTTTTGCGATGTTGCTTTGACCAGGGCTTGAACCCAGGCGTTGCGGAGTGGAAGCGCGCACTGCTTACCACTACATCACAGCGGCCGAGCTTCTATTAAAAGGGCACTCTTAAGGCGGACCTCTATAGCATGCGTATACGTATGTATGCGTTTGACAGAAAAATTGAATATACAAATTTATACGACACACAATGATATTTGATACCCATTTTGTGCCAATAATTTAAAAAATTAGTATATTTAGTAGAGGGCACTGAATTCGAATCTGAAGTAAAAAAAAAAGGGCCGATCCAATATGGGGCCCTAAAATCTTAAACACAAACATTTCGTTATAAATAATAATAAGAATGGCTTATGCTTATTACGGTGCTCTTTTCGGCGATTTTTTTTTACTCCACCTCGAAATTTTTTGGGAAATACCTAAAACAAGTTCCCTGAAAATTTGAGACCTTAATATTAATACTAAGTGCTCGACCAAGGCGTGCAAAAATTTTCCGTTCAAAATATACGTAAACTTTTATTGTTTTTCTTTAAAATTCTATAGCTCAGAGAAATTTTATGGTATAATCATGGTCAATGATGGTTTTTCTTCAGAATTGAATGCTCTACAAAAGGGTCCATTGTGACGTAACTCTAAATCCCACCAGCGAGTTAGTACGTAGTAGTATTTTCCTGAAATTCCATTTTTTTGCCCCTATCTCGTAAATAACAAGAGCTATAGAAAATTTGTGAATGACCGACTAGTAGGCTTTTTAATTTCCTACAAGAAACACTAAATCGCTAATATCGATATTTCTTGAGATATTGGCTTATGGTTCTGAAGTTACAGCTGATAAAAATAATCACACCTATGGGATACGCAACTCATTTATATGTAACACCTTACTATAAGCACCAAATTTCAATTTCATGTGACTTATGGTTTTGAAGTTATAGCTGATAAAAAATTTCACGCCCCCTTGTTGAATCCTAATTTTACTGACTTCAAATTTATAATTTTTTTGATAGCACACTGACAGCCTAAAACATAAGAGGTTGGCATTAAGCCTGATCGTTAGATAACTTTCTTTACAAATTTCGTTGAAAATACTAAATACATAAAATAATATTTGTCTAAAATACGGTCATGAATACATACTATGTGTGTGCGAATTTTTAAATATATACTCAAAAATGATATTTTCAATGGATCTTAAGCGAAAATTAGATTTTCGTAAAATTTTTTGAAAAACTGGGAGTGACCCGGCCACTTATGTCAAATATTTGTACCTCGAAAGCCACTTCACCAATCTGTACCAAATTTGATATACACATTGCGCTTGACCTTCTTAAATGCTGTCTTAAAAGTTTTTGAAATCTGACAAAAACCACGCCCTCTAGAAGTACCGCTAACATTTAGTTTTAAAAAACTATCGTTTTTTACTTGTAACTCTTTAAGCATTTGAGAAAAATGAATCATACAATAATTTAATATTTTCTCAATGGATCTCAAACAATTTGATGCATAATTTATTTTTGTGCGTTCTATTTAAAAATTTACGTGTTTTTTTAGCGTTGAATCGCATGGTTCCGGAAATTTGCCCATATGGGTTTTGTGAGGAAAAGAACTGTATTTTAGTTGAAAAATCTTGAAAATTCATAAATAAACATAAGTGGCGAACAATATCATTTTAAGTTTGGTCCAAAATGATATCGCACATCTAGATCTAAAGTGAGCTAACTCAAAATTCAGAGAGGGAGATTAACGCAATTAATAAAAAAAAAAACTGGTATAAAAAACAGTAGTTTTTTAGTTAATGTATATAATCATGAATTGATTTAGGGAAAAAAATCGCCATACTTTTTGTTTGAGTTGATCGCTGTATAAGTACGGTTTACTGTAAGTATGGTACATAACGCAAGCTTAGATTGAAAAGCGGCTAAGTCTATTTTTACAAATTTTACAAGAGGGGAATACACTTTTGAATACAACATTTTACGTGTGTAAGTCAAAGCAAGATTTGGCTTTCAGTGAATATAAACGAGAAAAATAAAACAAGCACCGTTTTTAATTTCACCATCAAACTATGAGTTTTCACGAAAAGTTGTTTTAGCAAGTTTTCACTCGAAGTTAGTGATATGTAAATATATATTTACTAAAGTTATTTATACATATTTACTCACTTCTCGGCGCTTTCGTGATTGCGTACAATTTCCAACATTTTAAAGACCTCATAGAGTGGCGCACGAAATGCATCCATTAGCTGCAAATCTTCGGTCCAGGGTAGTACACCAGTGCGTAACATAATCTGTTGCACATAGAAAACAGGTGAACTTTTTGCCCATGGAAACGGCGGATCGTAGCTGTAATTGTAGTTAGTTATTGGCGGACTGAAGAAATTCCTAACCAATGAGACATTTTGCTGTATCGTTTCCGTAAAAAGTGAATAATGACCGTCGAAGGGAAGCATAATTTTGGTTGGTATTGTGCCGGGTAGCGGCACATTGATTAGGGGGTAGCTGAAAAAAAAAGAAAAAGAAATGCTCATTAGTTAATAAATGGAAAGGGATATAGTTTTATTATTACATACAGTGGCGGCAGAAATAATAGGCTCGCCTTACTTTGAAGAGTTTTGGCTATTATTCCATGGTTTATTTTATGTTTAATATCTATTCTATACTAATTATATAAAGAGAAGTCCCTTTTTTTTGTAACAGGTAATCTCGCGAACGGCTGGTCCGATTTTCATGAAATTTTGTATACAAATAGCCTTCGGTAACCACCATGTTTTAGGCTAAAAAATTTTTACTTTTTTTCGGGTAGGTGGACCAGGGACCGGTCTATTCGAAAAAATCTTATTATAGTCCGATTTGCTTAAAATTTAGTGCGTAAGTAGCTTTTTAGCATATATGACTTATTTTTTCCGGGAAGTGGTCCAGGGACCGATCTATTCGAAAAAATCGAATTTACGGTCCGATTTGCTTAAAATTCGGTGCGCAGATAGCTTTTTAGCATGTATTAGCATATGTGCTCAATTTTTTCCGAGAAGTGGACCAGGGACCGATCTATTCCAAAAAATCGCATTTATGGTCCGATTTGCTTAAAATTCGGTACGTGAGTAGTTTTTTAGCATATATTAGGATATATGGTCCATTTTTTCCGAGAAGTGGACCAGGGACTGATCTATTCGAAAAAATCGTATTTACGGTCCGATTTGCTTAAAATTCGGTACGTAGGTAGCTTTTTAGCATATATTAGCATATATGATCCATTTTGTCAGAGAAGTGGACCATGGACCGATCTGTTCGAAGAAATCGTATTTATGGTCCCAGGTCCGATTTGCTTAAAATTCGGTACATAGGTAGCTTTTTGCCTGGATAAGCTTATAGATTCCTGTTTTCCAATTTTCATGCAATTTCGAATATAAATAGCTTTAAGTAACAACCATATCAAGGGGCGAATTCGTCACTAGGCAAGATTTCTTTGCGCCAATCAGAAACAACGGATACTGTCAAAATATAATTATAATATATAATATATCTCAACTAATTTATATTTAGAAAGCCGTTTGTTAGTTTTCGCAAGGCTCGAGAGCGGCTGAACCGATTTTTTTGAAACTGCCACCTGCCGCACGTGTCCTAAGGATGGTTTTAGGCTGAAAAAAATCTATATGTAAAGGGGGCGTGGCACTTCCCATACAAACCGAATTTCTCATGCTACATATCTCTGAAAGTGTGCATGGTAGAGTTTTGGAAATTGGTATGGAGATATACGAAATCAATCGCATACCCTTGGAGAAAAATTTTAGCTATAGTAAAAAGGGGTGTGACATCTCCCATACAAACCGAATTTTTCATACTGATTATCTCTGGAAATTTTTTGGTAGAGTTCTAGAGTTTTGTATGGAGATGTACGAAATAAATCACATACTCTTGGAGAAAAATTGGAACTATTGGAAAAGGGGGCGTGGCATCTTCCATACAATCCGAATTTTTCATACTGCCTATCTTTGGAAGTGTTCATGGTAGAGTTCTGGAACTTGGTATGGAAATATACGAAATCAATCGCATACTCATGAAGAAAGGGGGCAGCTGTTGGAAAGGGGGGCGTGGCTCCTCCCATATAAATCGAATTTTTATACTGCATATCTCTGAAAGTATTCATGGTACAGTACTGGAACTTCGTATGGAGATATGTATATAGTTGAAATCAAGTCCATACTCTTGGAGAAAATTTGGGCTATTTGAAAAGGGGTGTGAGGCCTACAAACCTGCCGACCTTTAGCTATCTTTGAATGAATTTTTTTATTCTTCTGTAGGTGTGTTTGTGAGTGAAATCCTCCTAAATGGTTGTACGGATTTTAACGAATTATTACTAAAAATCTTATTTATGATCCGATTTGGCTAATGTTTTAAATATGTATGCAATATTATTGCAAAAACGTGTTGCCAAGTGGTGCTGAAGTCGAGCTATTACTAAAAATAGCCAAGTGAGAAAAGGGGCCGTGAAGGTCAGATTAAATCGACCTGTTGCACCATTGAGTATATCGACGGTCCTGCGTTGCAATTGGCCCAATGGATGTGATTTTCCAATATTATTTCGTCTGAAATAAGTATATGTATATTGCATTTCTGTAGAACAATGATTCGCACCCATTTTGAAATTGCCACCTACTATACTGTAAAGCTTCTAGGACATTCACTATAGAACCGGTCATTGTTGCCGCCAGGGAGTGAAGAGGAAAAAATTTATTTCGCTTTGCGAATAACCGTGCTATGAAATGCCGCACAACTGGAGAATTTCAAGAACGGATATAACACTTTCCTTAGGTTATTTAAAGCGGCAAATGACCACCAAAACTTAATCTTAGCAGACAAATGTGCCAATGAAAATCGTAAACGTGAATTGTTGGTGAAAATGTTGGACCAAAAAGTTTCAATAAAATATATAAAAATTTTGGGCGGGACGAAGTTCGCCGGGTCTGCTAGTTTTTGTTTATAAAAGCCTGGCAAGCCAAACAACAAACACCAAACAAATTCGCTTTTCAAACTTTGAACAAAAATTATAAAATTTCGATAAATTTTCACCAAATTTTGAAACTTTTTATCCAGTATTTTTAGAAAATTTTATAAAAAAGCCTAGGTACTTATGCAACAAACATCATATATATCCGCTTTTCAAACTTTGAATAAAAATTCGACAAATTTTCACACAATTTTCAAACTGTCTATGCAGAATTTTTATAAAATTTTTTCTTGACGATGCTGGGCATTCTCTTCCAAATAAAATTGTCGGGCACACTTTGTATAAGAAAAAATGCGTAACATCGTCACTTTATTGTACTAAAATTAAAAAGGCTACAAAACTGCATACCAAATATTTTTCTAAAAATTCTGCATAAAAAGTTTGAAAATTTTGTGAAATTCGTCGAATTTTTATAATTTTTGTTCAAAGTTTGAAAAGCGGATTTATATGATGTTTGTTGCATAACTACCTAGGCTTTTATAAAAAAATATTAAACATAAAATAAACTAAATAAGTATAGCCGACTTAAAAGTAGGACGAGTCTATTATTTCTGCCGCCAGTGTGTGCATATATCAATACGAAATATCGTTGAACACCAAATTTAAGAAATAAAAGTGGATGAGATTATGAGATTATTAATTATATTAAAAACTATTTCTAGTTAGAAAACTTGGGTATTGGATTCAAAGAGATAAGAGCCATCTATACATACTTCAGATTATATAGTAGCTATGTATGCATGTACATATGTACATTCTAAGCCAGTTCCGTACAGAAATTATTTTGAATACACTATGAACATGTGTATGTATACACTTTGCAAATAAATAGCTATTGGTATTACGAAAATGCAGGGGGCACCCGAAGTATGTATTATTAATTTAGATTATCTTGAACTCTAAGTCATTGTATATACACAAGGGTGGTCCAAAAATAGTAAAAATGGAAGTGTAATGCTCTCACTCCCTAGGATTGTTCTTTGTCAAAAAAAAGTATACCCCTATTTTTTATTTTGAAATCAAAAAATAAAAAACAACTTTTCTCAGAAATGGTATAGAATTCTTGAAAATCAATATTTTTTGATCTGAAAACTTTGGTTCTCTTCAGTAGACTTTCAATAATAATACTCAATTGTTTATTTAGCAATTTTTTAATACTAACGATTTTTTATTGGCCTCTTCGCATTTTTCCGAGTTTTTGTGGGTTTTTGGGGACCTATAAATTATAGTTGCGATGAGAAAATGGTTATTTTTGGTTAATGGTTATGATTGGTTATTGTTCTTGGGAATCTCCTGCAGATAAACAGAGTTTTCTGGTAGAAAAATATTGACTTTTAACTATTCTATACCATTTCTACGAAAAGTTGTTTTTTCCCATATAAAATACATGGAAAACTTTGGGCGCTTTGAGCGACCTCTAGATATTTTTTGATAAAAAAATTCCAACTTTATTTCTCCCCCTCCCCCCACATGCATTTTTGGACCACCCTAATGCACACACATATGTACATTAGCGCACACAAGGGGTGGGTTTTGGGGTTCAAACCCCCCCTAAAGCTAATAACCTCAAATACAATCTGTATCTTAAAGCTAAGAATCCAGCTCTCAAGGAAATTATAAGAAACATTTATTATAATTTCTGTTGCTTGAAAAAGCGCTTAGCTTTTGCTGTAAATTTTCACGACGGAATAAATATACGAGCATTTTTTTTCTTGAGAGCTGCAAACTGATTTAAGAAATTTTGGTAGAAGAAAATTTCTTTCTCATTTCTCGTCTTTCGTTTTATATGAATTATTCGTTTTTCTTGAGAGTTCAGTTAATTTTTTCGGTATTTGAAATATTAAAAAAATTTAGCAATCGTCAAAAATCACCATCTCTATCGAAAATCAGAAATCGAAGAAATGAACATAGAAGTGCAAAAATTCATGGAATCAATAAATTTATTTTTACTGACTCTTTTTTAAAATTTTTTATTAGGTACTTTTGAAAGTTGAGCGCATCTTGAGTTTATAGAACTTTTTATTAAGCAAGTAGTTTTTAAGGAAAGAACACAACCGACTTCAATTCTCATATTCAAATTTAGGGGTACCGTTAATTTCTTCATGATCCAATCATCGGATCTCTAAAATAAATTACGGGACGAACCTTGAGGTACTACCTTTCTAATAAAAAAAGGATTATTGAAAACGGTTCACGTGGTCCAAAGTTATGTATTCCGGCGAGATGAAGTCGGTTAAAAGCGTTTGAGTTCTGTTAATCTGTAAATAAAGTGCAGTTTATGAATTTTAAAACGTTTATTTATTTATTACATACTGTACATAAAACTTGCATAAATCAATTATATAAATAGGCAGTCATGTTTCCTTTACACCCCTTTTACGGCTAAACCATACTTCTAAGGTATAAACAATTATATATCATAAGAAAGGTATTTTGATGCTGATGTGCAGGCAATTTTTAAAATTTCAAATTAGTTTAAAATAGAGCGAAAAAA